CCTCAGTAGCGCCATGGTGCATTGCGTTTCCCATGCTCCTGCAGTCCCTCCCTTCATGTAGGGAAGCATGAAGAGGACTTGGGAGAGGGTGCTGGGGAATTCAGCCGCGCAGACATAGAGATAGATCCCGCATTCAGCCTTAAAGCAGTCGAGGTCCTCACTGACTCCTGAGAAGGGGGTGGGGGGGGGGGCAACTTTGGGTGGTCTGGGCATGTGTGCAGACTGACCCTGGGCTTGGGCTACCACAGTGGCCTGTAGTTCCTGGAACTGGGCCAGCAGGTCGTCATACTGTTCTTGTGTCACCATGGTGGGGGAGGTGGGGGGAAATGGGGTTGAAACCTTCTTCTGCTGTCAGGGACCGACCCGGGGTCAAGAGCACCTGGGTATATCGCCCAGGGCTGAGGGTCCGGTAGGTATGACGTGGGCATGTGTAACAACAGGCCCGAAGCAGACAAGGGCCCCTGGCCACTCAGGCTAAAGTGGGAAATGTGAGAAGAAGGTTGCTTCTCAGTTCCCACTTAGGCTGTGTTTATATACATGTGGTTGAGGCCATGTGGGAAGTGCCACATCATCTACGCTGTAGGAGAAATAACAGTCACACTATGGAAACCCATTATGGAAATATGCCAGATAAATCACAAAACCTCATACGACAAGTAGATATGAGAAAATAGAAGGACCCAAATTTTAACGAATTATTATGACTATACATGATAAATCGAAAGAAAGAAAAATAGCAAAAATACTTCAAGCTTACCATCAACGAGACGGAATTCTCGGGGGAATTTATAGCAAATATTAAACCAAGAATTAGGACAATCGACCAAGATTTGACTATAAAAACAATTAGAGAACCTCCACGGAAACTACTTTCCCACATCTGCACACATAGCCAAGGATGGAAGTACCACGGAACAAGGATTCCTCAGGAACTAATGCAAAATTCAAAGTCGTGTCTATAATAGGAAATGTAGATGTCCCCCAAACGGACCCAATGAGAGTAATTACAGGGGAAACTACCCATAAACGATGGAGATATGACTAAAACTCCTGCAAAATGAGGACAATGTCTAAAAGGCAAGCGCAAAGATTAACCAGTAACGACCGAGACAAGCTTGATAGCCCATTAGAAAGGAAGGGATCTAATCTTAATCCTCCCAAACTTTCATAATAAAAGGATCATGCGTTAATGAGATATCCAATAATGGGAATAGCAACATCAAAAGTCCGAGCTCAGGGAAAAGACGATGTTTGCATAGGATCCATAATTAAAACATACAACGAAATTTACACGGAAATTATGAAAAATGGGGAACTATAGTTATGCAAATTTTCAGCCCAAACGGTCCAGCCGTTGTGAAGTTATGTATACCCATGATGGGAATATAGAAATCCACATCATGTGTAATGACACGTGAGGGTGGTGATGTGCAGGGAACTGGCCATCGAAACCGAGATCCGCAATTCAGCAGATCGCGAAGACCAATTTCCGTCCAAATAAGGAAGAGCCCGGTCAAAACAAAGCACAGAAAGTGCAAAACAACCTTAGATCATGAGGGAAAAATCTGAAATAAATCACAGAAGCCCATATGAAAGAAATAAACACCCGCGCATATCATAAATCCCAAACAATTAAACAGAAACAGCGCCCGCATATGAACGACTATGGGAACGATGCACGTGATTACCGAATGTGCACATGAACTTTTGCTAACTCAACAAATACCAGGAAATAGGACACAACCTTAGTACCATTGGAAGGTGGGAATGAATGAAAATTTATGATACCAAGAATGTGAGAAAACATCCAGAAATGAATGAGATACAAGGACATGAGGTTAGAAACCTGGAAACACGTGGGAAGACAGCTTCAAGAGGTCCAGAGTCCTAAATAAAATACATAAAAATATGATATCTTCAAGGACGACCTACTATAACAACAAACAATACATATGGAGGATTAGGATGTGATAATACAAAGGGGAATCAGGGAATATGAACGAAATTCACGAAAACCACTAAACTACGACGGACCATGGCAGGAATTTTAGGGAACGATGTTCTAATGAAGTGGAGAGCTATAACACATTCATTTGAGTAATTCTTGACTACTAGCAACTTTTTCTTTCAGTTTTAAACCTGAATAATTCACTCATTTACCATTTCAGTCTCATTTTAACTAAATGTCACTAAATAAAATTGGAATAAATCAGCTGAAGGTCTCAGCACAGCCGTACGCATAGTAATGCGAAGTTTGAATTCAGAATCATCGAGTCATAGCAAATTTAATGGTATATATACAGAATTTGAAATAGGTAACTGCAACAAATGCAGTGCAGCCAAGTTCTAATTAACCATTAAAATAGCTTAGGCAAGGGAGGACAATAAGGATTCTAGGTGCAGTCTGACCACAGTAGAACTGCAGTTCAGCGCAGCAAAAGCGCAGTAGAACTATAGCGTGAAATTTTCATTTTTTATTCAGTTTGAGAAAAATACACTGTAAATAAATCCTGTAAATAGAAGGTAGAGCATGAAAAAGGAAGGCGACCCAAGGAGTATAAAAGGGAGACCCTTTCTGCGACTTTTCACCCCCCTCAGAGAAGTAAGAAAATAGAGTATTATTTTTCTCAAGCATTTCTGGTTGTCACTCCAGTGCAAAAAAGTGAAATACAGTTAAGATTGCCACTGTAGTAAAAGGCAGCAATTCAGGAGAGAAATATTAAGTAAATATTTCAACAGGAGAGCTGGTTAACACTCCAGATTTCAAAGTGTAAACACAAAACAGTTATCTTGCTACTGTTAAAAACAAGCAATAAAATAAGACAAAAATAAAACAAACCCAAGGGACACTCCAGACACAAACCAAATTCATTAACTGAATAGAATCTTTGAAACTTCACCAAGTAGAAGATTAAATTCAAGTTTAAATCCAAATTAAACAATGCTACACAGAATTACACCTAGACAAATTAAGAAATTTCAATAAAGAAACAGCTCTGCAGGGCTCGGTTTATCTGTAAGTCAATTCCCAGGAACTTTAAAACTAACCCATAAAAATAGAATTAGCCAAAACACTCGGATTGGTACTATATTTACAATAAATAATACTAGTACACTTCCCCATCCTAACTAAAGAACCAGGGAACAGCTTGGTGGTGGTCTCGTTTGAACCTCCCAACTGACCTTCCTTCGTTCTCTCCTTCAACGCACACAGCCACATCCATCCGGGTACCTCTGTAAGAGGTCCTAGGAGCGTCCAGTATGCGGGAGGTCATCTGGTGTGTCCAGGTCCGGGTGCATTACACTGCAGCCGGGTCAATGGTACATTGATACAAAGGAAGTCGTCCGTGTGATAAGAAAAGAATAGGAGTGGATGGTGGGGCACCGGGTCAGGTGGGTGTGCCCTGACACCCTCTCTGCTGAAGCTGATAGATGGCTTAGCTACATTCAAGTGATGCAAAACCAGGGAAAAGTCCCAAGCTTGATGGGGCAACAAAGGAAGAAATAGAAAAGGCCATCGGGCTCATATGTATTTACTTTGTTGTTCGTTGGCTTCAACTTCAACCCAGCACTTGGGCGAAATGGTGAATTCATTTGTGTAATGGTCGTGCTGTGCCTTACTGAGGAGTCATGCTTCTAGGTGCCCAAGAGGTGGCTTATTGCTTATGCCAGCACATCTGGTGTCCCAGCAACCCCTCTAGCAACTTGATACTTGACACCAATTGCATCTGTGGCAATAGGAATTTTTCTTTTTTTGGCTTGCACTCATTACCAGTGTTTCCAAGGTATGATTCCGTGAACAATGCCCAGATGGACATTCATCTGGCAGACCAACCACTTGTGTCCTCAGCTTTGCAATCAGGTGGCATCCACTGCTTCAGCCTGCCACTGCCTTCGATACTTAGCCTGTCATTTTCCCCATTATCAGCATCCTACTGCCTGTGACATGAATTGCAGGACAGGTGCCACCCAAGACGTGGCTGCAGAACTGTGCCCACAGTGTGGGCTGTTGATGAGCAACAACTTGATCCTGGAGCTGGACTATGAGCAAATACTCAGTCTCAGCTAATATGCATGAAGAACTGAATATATTACCTATGAGCAAATACTAGAGGTAATATACATAATATAAGTTACAATGATAAAACAATGAGGGAATGTAACTAACCTCAGTCTCAGCTAATATGCATGTGTTAGAACTGGGCAAGGGCGGACGATTCCGGAGGGGAACTGGAGACTTAGCAAGGAGGGACCTTGGCCTCAGCGACTCAAGCGGAGTGCTGTGCCATTGCTGTTTGTCCATTTGGTCCTTAATTTCATAGGAGGCGAGCAGGAAGTCTCTAGGGGGCATTTCAGGTCGGTTTTAGACTAAGGACTAAAACGAGTATGTACAAGCACCGATATATATAATGGAGAGGGCGAAAGCACAAGGGAACAAAGGGGATCCAAATCGGAACAAAGGCGTCCAAATCGGAACAAAGGGATGGCAGAAGCGGAGTGGTACCAAAGGTCATAAGGCAGAACCTGTGGTACGTCTGAAAGGAGGTAGGGAGGGTGAAGCCCAGAGGGGCAGGAGGATGAGGGGAAGTGGGGATGATGACTAACTGGCTAGAATGGGAAGGAGCAGCAGTCCAAATAGGGATGAGGGGAAAATGCAAGAGATACATTACAAGCTGCGAAAGAGCCAAAGGTGATCCATGGAGCTCGGAGGTTGTGGAGCTTATGGAGGTTACGGAGGTGGGGTTGAAAGTCCGAGGAATATTGGCAATGGTGTTTACGTAGTATGAGGTCACCAATGCAATGGACTAAGTCCGAGGTAGGAGCTATGATGGAGGCTCGGAGCAAAGGTACAAGCGGTGTCCGAGTATGAAGTACAGGACAGCGGTGGAAGGTCATAACTTGGCAGGGGGTCAATGGAAGAGGGCCAGAGGGAAGAGAGAGGAAGGAGGAAGGAGGAGAGGTGTGGAGGAGAGGAAAGGTGTCAGGTCTGAAGGTGAGTATCAGAGCAGACGGGAGAAGAGTAGGAGGGTGATGGAAGGGTGGAGGTGTTGTGGGGAGGAAGCAGAGGAGTGGGAGGAGGAGTAGTAGGAGGGTGGCAAGAGGGGTGGTGTTTGGTCTGAGGTGGGTATCAGAGCAGATGGAGATAGGACAGGAGAGGGACAGAGGAGTGGAGGTGGCATGGGAGGTGAGAGGAGGTGAGAGGAGGTGTGGTGCCAGGACCGAAGGTGAATATCGGAATGGACAGCGGTAGGGTAGGACTCCGGAGGTGATGAAGAAGGAGGTCTGGGAGTCAGGTCGGGATTGGGTATGCATGGATATGACAGCGTGAAGAACTGAGGGAAAAGGAAATGAATTCAAATGAATGAATATATCCATGGCCTAGCACGGATTAGTCTGAAATAATGTAAAGGAGGTCTTGTGACTAAGTAGTCACATGGTGGATTCTGGGCGAGTTGCTCTCCCAGAATGTTCCCACGCTAACGCAGGAATGTGGCTGTTCAGGTTAGCTCCGTTGGAGTACCCTCATAGCACATGGTTCCTCCAACATGGGCTCCCCTACATCAAGTATACAATGTTTTCCTGAGGGATACTGTACCCGCACAACCAATTACCACTCACGCATCACACTGACGTTCCGGTTGAATGATCCTTGTCACACCATTTTTTTTGGCGCCTAAGTGGCTGTGTGAAATCGGATTAAATTCAATGAAAACAAAAGCCGTCTGCAAGGAAGTAGTTTTTTTGGTGTAAAATGTATCAACACGAAAATTTGCCAGTTGGACATTTCCAGTGCCACTGTGGCTGGTGTCACACCAACCTTGCCACCTCTTCCGGTTGCTTGTCACACGTCACAAGGAGAAGCCGGTTGACTATTTTGTGTCACACTCGGGACCTCAGCCGGTAATTGGTCGTGCGGGTACAGTAGCTTCCCTTCCCCATCTCGTGGGATGTTGCTCTTGGTGTTTGTGAACATCATTTCTTCCATGAAGCGTCATGCAAAGTTACTGGTTCAGATATTAGTGCGATCAGTCTCAGTCGGGAGACGACGTGGACGATCCGAAAACCCATAGTATCACGCCACTGATGTTGTAGCAACAAACCCTCAGGTCCAAGATGACCTGTACAATGAACCACGGACCTCTTCACGATCTCGATCGTGGCCCTCTCACTCTGCACCTATTCTGCGTCGAAAGACTAGTTATTTATGATTAACTGCTTCACCATAAATATTAATATCCTAGCTGATGCGCGGAAGCACCATTGCAACCGACGGTTACAAAAATCGTGGCCAACCCGCTCAAAGAAAACGTAACAAGGACGAGGAAAAGCAGAGCAAACAATAGGGAAAAAAAAACTATTCGGTGCTTTTGAACGGGACCGCAGATCCATCGATTCTCCCGCCCAAGTGACCACCACACATCCAATCAGACATATCGATCGACTTAGTGTGCAGCGATGACGACAGTTCCCTGGATGGTCACTACACTCGCTTCATTCTTCGCTCCAGCCTTACAAGCAAAAAGATAAATAAATAAATAAATGGTTCAACATCAGCTTGGCCGCCACCCAATTCTCAAACCAAAACCAAACTTACGGTTTGGAAAATAGTCACCGTCAACCCAAAAATTTCCTTCTTCCCCTTGATCTTCAAGTTACTCGGCAACATAACGTCCACCTTAAAACTTCCATGCCCAGTGACGGAGTGTCCACCCTCAACCAAATCGCTGTGAGGACTGGTCAAGACGAGTTCGCCAATATTCCCGCCGACGACCGGGTTCGTTCCAGGGTGTAGTCCAAATATAACGTAGTACTGAACAGTATTGTCTATGCTCTTCTCGGTGAGAAACTTGAGGGTGAATTTGTGACCGTGAAGGACGCCCTGGGGAATTATGACGTTGGTTATGATGGCAGAGGTCGAGTTGATGCTTATGAGGAAGAAGAGAAGCGAGGCAAGGAAGTTGTGGAAGAACTTCATATTGACGACTTGGGACTTTAAGACTCGAGCGTGGGGTTGTGCGAGGTCAAGCAAGGAGGGCGCGCTGCATCCACACCATCTCTTATCAGCTGAGCATTCCCCACAGCACGTGTTGGTCCCCCTACTTTACGTACAATTCCCAAAAAGCTATTTTTGGTGCGGGTGTAAATTTCTTGTTCCTGAACGTGACTCACGCCAAGCGATTATCATTAACGCCTAACGTGGGAAGCTAGAACCCGAATTACGTCTCACGTCGATCACACCGTTGGTTCGCCATGCTCGGATCTGGCTTCTCAGAACTCATCAACATGAATAAAAACCTCTTCGACGCTTTAAAATGTTGAGTACAGATCATCAATTCTCCCTCCCTCTCCCTCTCCCTCTCCCTCTCATGAACACCCCACACATCCCAGTCGACTCAGTGCGGAGCGATGGTGACGAAATCAGAGAACTTTAAAATACTTGCGATTTGGTCGAATCCAGTCTTTCGGCAAAGAATAACCATCATCATCATCATCATCATCATTCAGCAATCATCCCCATCCCTAAACTCACCAAATTTACTGATTGGAAAATAGCCGCCGTCAACCTGTACTTTTGAGTCCTCCCTCTCGGAGTCCTAAAGTGAACCGGCAACGCCACATCCACATCGAAATGTCCAGACCCCGTAACAGAGTCTCCACTCTCCAGCCAATCGCTATGAGAACTGGTCAAAACAAATTGACCTATATTCCCACCCGTGAGCGGACCCGTTCCAGGTTGCAGTCCGAATATTACAAAGTACTGAGCAGATGGGCGGATGTAGGCAAGAGTGAAGAACGTGACGTTGAACACATGGCCCGGTCGAAGGGTGTACGTGGGTACTTTCATGCCAGTCGTGAAGGCAAAGGCCGAATGGATGCTTGTGAGTGACGTGAGAAGGAAGAGGAGCGAGCTGGCGATGAAGGTGGTGTGGAAGAACTTCATGTTTGGTGACTTTGAAATGTGTGTGTGGGGGGGGTAAATATGGCGAGGTCAAGCAAGGGAATACTTGGTCGCTGCACCGCACCCACTCTTATACATGGGTCCTCCCTACTTATATGGCATGAGCTTTCGTGAGGGGGGGGGCTGGTTGTGCACAGCCTCTAGGATCGTCAGATTCATTCGTCCAAAAAGCTATGCTACCCCTGAATTAACACCAAGCGATCACAGCATTCGGTATGACACGCAACAGGAGTTGTGCACGTTCGCCATCTATATTTATCCTGCGGCAGCATTACCACATTATGTACCATTGGCTTCCCATTAGCAAGCTGTGCAGATTGCAGCGGCGTCAGCATCAGGTCTATCGCCAGTTAGGAGGCGCTATTTGCGGACGGGTTCTCTGGTTCTGTTGTGCAAGCTCCATTTGATGAGAACTCATCCACATAGCATATATACAAAGCACTCGAGCGATTTGAAAGCCCAGTACGTTCGTCAATTCTCCTTCTCATATTGAAAGCCACATCCTCGGTTGATTCAGTGCGGAGCGATGGTGACATTTCCATGGAAGATCGCCACACCTGCACCATTTAACGCTCCGGCCTTATGTCAAAAGAAAAGAAAGAAAAGCGTTCGACTGCAATCAGCTTATCCGTCACACCAATTACATAATTCACAAAACAAAACTCACCGTCTGGAAAACAGCCGCCGTCAACACAAACTTTTCTTTCTTCTTCGAAGGAGTCCTAAAAGTACGCGGCAACAACACGCTTATCTTGAAACTTCCAACCCCCGTGCTGGAATGTCCACCCTCGACCAAATCGCTCTGAGCACTCGTCAAGACGATCTCGCCCACGTTCGAACCAGGGGTGGAACGATTCCAGGTTGTAATCCAAAAATAACGTAATACTGAGCGTTTTGGATGATGTGCGGGTGGGTTAGGAACGTCACAGTGAACGTATGGCCTGGGCGGAGGATGTTCTTGGGTGCTTCGATGCTGCCTATGATAGCAAAGGCCGAGTTGATACTGAGGAGGAGGAGGAAGAAGAGTGAGGCGAAGAACTTGTTCATGTTGAACCAGTACTCTCTGTACTTTGAGACTCGAACAACGGGGGGTGCGTGCAATAGGGCGAGGTCGAGCGAAGAACGAATCATACACACCTTCTCAGCAAGCTCTTTATACCTACCTTCCCCACAACACGTGTTGGCCCCCCCTTCACTTTACGTACGGTCCTGTTCTATGTAATAAAAAGCCGGTAACCTGCCTACAATCCCCACAATATTACATGGTGCAATTTCCGAGTTTGGAGCGGGATTACGATGGCGACAGACCAAAGTCAGTTCGTATTCAATACCCACTTTTAGAATTAGTGCTATTCATATTACGTCTCAACGTTTCAATTGCGCCAAGCTGTACAATAACGAAAAAACAAGTGAGTTGCTTACATAATCGCCGCTTTTTGGATTCCCCGGCTCCGATTAATTAAGCGCGCGCCCTTTTTGTCCCCCATGCTGTAAAGGTCAGCGTGGGTACTATGTAATCGCATGTTTGTGAACTCAAACTCATTGATGCATGTACACGTTCGCCGCCGCCCAGGTTTGAAAGATTTACAGATCGCTTCTGAGCCCGAACTTCTCATAACTCGGCGGTATGTATTCTGGTTCGGTTTGCAGTTGAGCTTCGATGTGGCCAGAAGTCTTCGTTGATTGGGTCGGGAAGGGTCTTCTTACCGTACTAACTCCATTTTTCACCTAGTTCGATGAGGCTTACAGTGACATACTAAGATGATATTAAAACTCTTTCGGCGCCCAGATCGTTCAAATTCTCTCCCCCGTCGACAGCCCCGCCTCCATCAGATAGAACTTCGATCGACTCAATGAGAAGCGATGGTGACAATTCCATTGAAGAAGACCACTCCTGCTCCATTCAACGCTCCAGCCTTATGTCACAAAAAAGAAAGAAAGAAAGAAACCATTCAACATCGGTTCGATCGTCACACAAACACCCCCAAAAAAAACTCACAGTTTGGAGCGCAGCCGCCGTTAACACAAACTTCTCCGTCTTCCCAGTAACGGGGAAATTTTTGGGCAACGTGACGTCCACGGTGAAACTTCCATGCCCAGTGACGGAGTGATGACCCTCGACCAAATCGCCCTGAGGACTCGTCAAGACGAATTCACCCACATTCGAGCCAGGTGGTGGAGTCGTTCCCGGTTGCAATCCGAAAATAACGTAGTACTGGGCATTCTGAATGATATGGTTCTCGGTGAAGAACTTGACAGTGAATTTGTGGCCGGGGCGAAGGAGGATGGAAGGTACTTGGATGTGAGTTATGATGGCAAAGGCGGAGTTGATACTGATAAGGAGGAAGAGGAGGGAGGCGAGGATGTTGTTGTTGTGGAAGAACTTCATGTTGACTGGACTTTACGTGGGGGAGCCGGTGAAGCAAGTCATGCAAGAGAGCTCACACCTGGCCCTTATACCCCCCCGAGTACGTGTGTATTTACGTACAATCCTAACCCCACGACTGACGCGTTGGTTGCAGAGTTGTTGCTCCCGGCTTGAGAGCGGAATATTGCATCATTTGCATGAGTTCAGTTGTTGAATTGCTATTTTTGGTGCACGAAAAACGCCAAGTGATCACATGCCCCCCTGATACGTACAAGCTACAACCAGTGCTGATATTACGTCTCAGCGTCTCACATCTAAAGAGTGCATTGCGCAAGAGTGTGCGACAATTTGACACACGTTCGATCGGCCATGCTGAGATCTATTTTCATCCTCGATCTAGTGGCCGCACATGGCTTCGTCAGAGGACCTCGTCCACTACCTGCATGACTCCTGATCTGCATCATCATCAACCCAAGCTTGGTATATAAGAGTGACGGCCCTCAGTGACAGTTGATGAGCCAAACCCTGCTGTTGTCACGGGTTCTAGTCCAGAGCACCATCACCATCCGCGTCGTCTTGGTGGGATGAAAAGCTATATAAGGCTTCTGGGTGTTGCGCAATCCCACTGTCACATGCGCATTGACGCGAAGGAACATCTTCCTTCTCTTTGCGTCTGGGGGACTCGACCCACCCGGCAATCTCTTGGATCCGGTTATATAGTGAAACCACCCCACCGTTCGGCAGCTTTGTTTTACTACACAGCCTGGGGTTTGTGATACATTGTCTTCGTTATTTAGGAGGCTCTATTCTGCGGCTGGTGTTCTTCTAATCAGGCGTACTAGCTCATTCATTTCATGAGAATCAGTCAATACAAATGCCCAACCAAAAAACTCGTTGGCGCTTCGAATCCGATTCCAGATCATTCATCATCATCATCTCTCGTGAACAGCGATGGCTTTCATCGTCACGGCCTCCTCGACCTAGTGCCTGGCGATGGTGACGATTCCATTGAAGCTTATGACATCTGCGCCATTCACTATTCCAGCCTTTAAAAACAAAAAATAAGACAATTGGATAGATCTTCAACCCAAAATCACAAAAACTCACCGTCTGGAGCACAGCCGCTGATAACACATACTGTTGCTTCTTCCCAGGTCCAGTGATCTGAAAGTTACGAGGTAATCGGACGTCTATCGTAAAATTTCCAAATCCCGACACGGAATGTCCCCCTTCGACCAAATCGCTCTGAGGACTCGTCAAGACGAATTCGCCCACGTTCGAACGTGGAGTCGTTCCGGGTTCCAATCCGAATATAACGTAATACTGAGCGTTATTGATGATGTGTAGGTTCGTGAAGAACGTCACGGTGAATTTGTGACCGGGTCGGAGGACGTTGGTGGGTACTTTGATACCGCTTATGATGGCGGAGACGGTCGAAAAGTTGATACTTGTGAGGAGGAAGAAAAGGAAGAGAGAGGTGAGCTTGAAGTTGTTGTGGAAGAACTTCATGTTGACGATCGACTTTTGACTCGAATTAACGTGGGGGTTAGATGTCCCTGCACACTTTGAGCGCTTGCACGATGCTCTTATACCTCCTACATCTTCTCTCACCAGGGGGGGGGGTTCCTTTTACTTTTTACGTCTCATCCAAGAACCCGCTCCCGGATTCCGAGCGGATCATCTGAGTTTTCATTTCGTCTTCAATAGCTGGCTTTTTTCGGTGCCATTCAAGGCTTCATTGCTGCACGCACTAGTCCGAGCGATTATACATTTGCCTCTTGTAGGGCAAGCTCGTACAGTGAGTTATAGCTGTGTAGAAGCGTGCAACATTGTTGGTACGTCCGGCGCTCGCCATGCATGCATGCTAGAGATCTATCTCATCGTCTATATACCTTCGATCGTAGCATCGCCAAAAACATTACTATAAAAAGTAAATCTCGCGCTTCTGGGTCAACAATGCTTCTCAGTTTTGTAGTACACACTGGTTTGCGGCCAGAAGCTTAAGATGTTAGGAGGCTCTATATATATATTTGCGGCTGGCATTCTCAATTACTAACACCCCTTTTCACTAGTTTAATAGACGGAATGTCCATCCCCCTCGACCAAATCACCCACATTTTGAGCCAAAAACTGGTGGTGGTGGGGTTGTCGTTCCGGGATGTAATCCGAAAATAACGTAGTACTGAGTACTTTGGAGGAGGCCGATCTCGGTGAAGAATGTCACGGTGAACTTGTGGCCGGGGTGCATGGCCGGAGGATGTTCGTAGGCACTTGGATATCGGTTATGAGGGCGAAAGCTGAATCGATACTGATAAGGAGGAAGAAGAGAGAGGAGAGGATGTTGTTGTCGTGGGTAACCAACTTCATGTTGACAAATTTGAGCATCGAGAACTCAAGAATGCAAAGTGGGATGCACGCGACTGAGTAATAGGTAGCTTGCACCTTGATTATTGTACCTAAGAGCACTTTTATACCCATATTCCCTAGAGCACGTATTGCTTCCTTCGCTTTTACGTAGATCAAAACCCCGGGCCGCCCACAAAACCCGCCACCATCGCTCCCGACCTACGTGAGTGAGCACAGGCGCTTAGTAGCCACTTTGTGGCGGTAATATTCTAGGCTGAAGCCGCCTCCACATATATAGACAGGTAGAGGTGGCTTACTCAAGCGTTTCAGCTTAGGCGCGCACACGCCAAGTGATCGTGTGGGGACACTGGCACGTACACCTGCAAGCAAGCTAGTTACGTCCCAGATTAAATCACAGCGTTCTCAATTAGAGTGCGGGTGCGCAAGTTAACAACTGGCACGGTTGAGATATATTTATCCCGCCATACATCGTCGGAATATATCTAGGTCATATGCTACGTTCATCTGGGACACGAACTACTGATGAGAATTTTGCACGAGCTTCCATTGTCTTCGTCAGTTAGGGGGGCTCCATATGCACGCATGGCAGTGCAGTTCCCTGGCAGTTTCCGCCAGAGCGAGCTTACTCCATTTCCACACGACCGTGGCGCCATGAAACGCGTTATCATCTGTCTGCTGTTATGACGCCTGATCTTCATTCATTACCAAAAGTCAAAGCTCCCTGGAGCAGGAGTGACCCTTAGTCGTGATGGCCCTTGGGATCGTCGACCCTGCTGTTGCCACGGGGTTCTAGTCTTAGCAAGAATGCTACGCAACAGGAATGAGCTCTGTATAGAGTTCCCATAGCCACTACTACGCTTACTGTGATAAGCGAAGGCCCCTGATCCAATTTTAGAGAAGTACTGTAGAGTTACAGGGCTTCTGACCGGGTTTAGGGGTGTAGTCACTTGCATTCGCAATCCACTGTCATCGATGCGAATTAGAGGCCATACTTCTCTCCGGGCGGACGTTCGGACGTGGAGCCCCACCGGCATCGTTCTTAGATCGAGATCGGTGCAACCGATAAGCGCTGCCGGACAAACGTTCAATATTGCAAAACTGTTATTTTTACGTTTTCTCGGAGTTACTGATCGGTGCTTATCTGCCGATTGAATTACATACTATCCCATCACTGGACGGTTGAATCAGGTTCGTTGTTCATGTGGTTTTGCACTCAAATGGAGATGTGTGCTTGTTACCACTCTCTCTAAGTTTACGTCTTCAACGACTCAATGAAGGCCATCCATGGCTGAGGTGGACAGGGTTGGGGAATGGCATTAATTCGGCTTTTGGGTGAAGCAGCGATGAAGCCTTTGAGGTTCCTCCGGCAGTGCATGGGTTTGCCTTCACATTCGCATGTCCAATTGGCTCACTCTTCGCGGCCGGTAGAACTCGACGGCTCTCGCCCAGAACACCAATCTGATCTTCTGGTGTGCCTGATCTGAGCAATCCACTACTAGCGTTTACATCATCGGCCACTTGCCCAGAGCGGATAATCGGGGCGTTTGTCTCGTTTGTTGCGTCCTACCTAATCTAAGCCTTGATTTTATGTAACTGTGTGGATCTCATGATTCCTGGCAGGAGTCGTACCCGCGGGTCCAGATTATTTGAGAAGCAAAGGCAACGCGGACGTCGACGTTGCAGCTTTTGTACGTATATCTAACGATTTTCAAATTTATGTGTAATTGTGTGGAATATAAAAGGCTTACACTATAGTTAGAACGTTCATCGTCTTCAAGTTGACTGAGCGCCAAGCGTGTTGATAATCGACAAGTGCCGACGGATAATTGACTGGTACGAAGTTCTTTAGATCGATTCAGCCACCCCAAACTCATACTTTCCACTCACCCATCCTGCTCTCCGCTTCGCCAGGATAAAATCACACAATGAGGACTGGCACCTTTACGACGACCACCTTTTCCCTCATCTTTCTCCTTCTCATCTCCCAAGTTCAAAGCCTGATCCACAGCATCTCCGCACCCACAAAAGTTCTCCACCCAGGCGAAAGGTTCATCGTAACATTCCACACAACCCCTTACATCCAAAGCAACCATCAATTCTACGCTCTCTTCGGTATAGGGTCCTTCCCAGCCCCTGCCGTATCCTTCCTAGGACTTCCCATTCCAGCCGTAGCTCCCGTTCCTGGTGCAGATGGCGGATTGGGGTTGCGTAACCTTTTCAGTGGACCTAGCGGGAAGGGGAAAGCGGGGATCGATATTGGTGGTATAGATCTTTGGGAGGCGAATTTAGGGAACGTTGGAAGTTTGAAGGGATTCAACGTGACGTTGAGGTTACCTGTGGATTTAACTTTGGGTACGAAAAATCGAGTGAAGAAGGTTGTGCTTCAAACCGGTGTGCTTGGAATGGTATGCCCCCGGTCTTTTTCGCGCAATCGTGACTAACCACTATGATTTTGATCCCTTTCACTCCTTTCGTTAATTCCGTCCAAATCTAAACAATCGGTTCTTGTAAACTCGTCGACGACGTATTTGTTTTTTTTTTGGATCGGCTTACCCAGGTGGGAGCATCTGGGTTGACGACGCTGTCCTTCTTCAACACTACGATTAACATCAAGTCTCCTTAACCCCCCCTTCCTCTAACAAATTTCTAACGCGTTTTCATCGACGGCGTTTCCCTGAAACTAAATTCGTGTATATGTAAATTGCCCAAGTGCTCGTTTTTTGGTTCTACTTACCAGCCCCGTCCTACATGCAACACCCGATTATGTATGTATCACAGCTCCCGTACATTATGTAAATTCCTTTCCATCGGATCGGTTGTTCTTTTATTCATTTTTTGTTTGTCTGTACATGGGACCGCGAACAAGATCTCGGGCAGGCTTTGGACGTCCTACCGCCGAACCTGAGGGAAAAAATGGGGGGGATTACAAGTACAATGGTTTACCGCTGTGAATCGGGTGCTCCAGCGTAAGTGTCAGATCACAGTTCATCCAACACATAACGTACGATCAACATAAGTATAAGAACTCGCTCAAGGAGGTCACCGGTGCAGCGGGGCGGATAACAACGACCCATTCATGGTTCCTTTCGGCGCGCAAGTAGGCTATTTCATGTTAGTGCCGCCTTCGGCGATGGAGTCCCTCATTAATCATCCTGTTGGGACGTGGAATCAGGATATTGGATGGTGGCTGAAACGGATCTGGGGGCAATGTTGCGTTTGGCTCGGTCATCATGAGAAGGGGAAGCTATAGCAGATCGTAGGTAAGATAGAGTAGGCAGGCAGCGTACAGTTGAGTGTACATGTGGTGCGCCCAAAGGAGTATCCAAAGGGGAGAGAATGCATGCGCAATTGATGACGGGAATTGCTCTCCAAAGACAACGCTGCCAATTCGGCGCCGACGCATACGCATGCATACATAGATACGGTATGTCATCCCAGTGTTCCCCTCACAGCACATGCGTGCATGGCGTGAAGAATTATACAGATAAACAGCTAGTAGGCCCAGGTCAGCCAATAATCTGGCACAGACAATTTCCAGTGCTCTGCCCAACTGTCGAGTGATGTGTAACATCTAAGCGGGTTTCTAGGTGTATCCCCAGATCGAGCTATGCATTCAAGAGCTCCGCAGGTTCTACCAAATCGTTATGGCGAAAGCCAAATTGAGGAGGAAGAGGAGCGATGCGAGGAAGTTGTTGTGGAAGAACTTCATGTTGACGACTTTGAGCGTTGAGGCTCAAACGCGAGGTGAGGGTGCCACTGGGTTAGGCAAAGATAGCTTACACTCGACCGCTGTACCTGATCCTTGTCCTGAACCATTCCAAAACCCATGGTTGATGTATTGCTCTCTGGATGAGCACAGCCTCAGGGCTCAGATCGTTATTGCGCAGGAGAAGCCTCGTCCGCCGAGTGGTTCAGCGGCATATGTACCCCGCTTATAGTTTTTCTGATCAAGCTTGTCTCACTGGCAAAACCGCACCCACACATCACACATCGAACCTCCATCTAATTGTCCCACCCTCGATTGTTTGTATCTCTCACAAACATACAATGTCACGGTCTCATAACTTTTTCAACGGCCAGCGATTGGACAAGTCGTTCCTGGTGCCCTGCGGAGTGCAGTTTCATGGTTCCAGAAAAGACAAATAATAACACCACTGCTTCATTTGCTCTTCCCTATTGAGTGTGCATGGTGCATATTTCAAATTACTTGTCGCTTGAACATCGTGTGAGAGGATTGAGCGCCTCTCCGCGGCTTCATTCCTCCGCTCCTGTCCTGTCTTCCACACTACTGTGATGCGTCGCAAAAACCTGTTGCTATTTTCCTCTTGGCGTTCGAATGCAAAGTCCCCTCCTGAGCGCTCTCTCCCTGATCCGCAACCATTGCACACCTCGAGGTCCTTGCCCAGGATTGTTATGACCAGTCCCCAGGTAACGGATGGAGAGGTTGGGTCTCGTGCTGTTTCTCTGGCATCCATGTCTATGCCGCCGCCCTCATCTCTCCGAGATCGATTTGCTCGATGGGTCCTAAGATGGCGAAGTCCCAGTCCCAACGACAAATCAACTACACGACGCCCCAAACAGTCCACGGGGAGCGCGTCCCTGCAGCCGTCTCCTGATAACTCGCGGCTATCGCTCTCTTCCCTCCGTTCTAAAGAGAATGTTAATAATAATACCCCTTCAAGGTCCAACCCACCAGCCATCTACGAAACGAGTGCTGCGTCCTTCGAGCAGCCGGGGTCCACAGGCGATAGCGATGGCTGTTCATTGGGCGTGGAGTCTTTACCAGGTCCAGCAGCACCGGCGGCGGGAACCCGCTCACATGGTGACCAGAAGAAGACCATCATGAATGCTATTAAACTTCTCCTTCAAACTTCTTCCACCGCTCTTAAACTCGCGCCTATACCCAATCTCGATCAGATTCCGAACACGCTCCTGGCGTGGATAAATACCTACGAGGTATGCACGGCATCCTGAGCTCCTTTGGTGATCGCACCAATGCCTCTGATATTGTACGGCAACCCAGAATGTCACCGGAAACGCTGAAGACATGGAAAAGTTGTACGTTGTGATCCAGCAAGTGCACGACTCGGTGTTTCAGCCCCTCCGGGAATGGACCGGCGAGGTTCCCCCGAACTGGAAAATCTAACACGGGATTTCCATGCGTAAGTTTCTCGCCGTATTCTTATTTGCCCATCCTAATGTGTTCATGTAGAGCCTTGAAGAAACAAGTAGAGGAAATTGAATTAACCCAGCGAAAAAATCTGCCAACGAGGGCTATCCAAGCGCCTGACATAACACAGCAAATAAGTGGCATGAAGGGCTGCCTGAATGATGCTATTTCTCGTTCCCAGGTTTGTCAACTTTCGTGTTATTGGGGTGTCTGGAACTTGACCGTTCTCTCCAGCTAAGAATATCAACTTTAATTCTACTTCGTACTGAACGTTTGTCTGTGCAGTGTATGTTTCCTGTACATGCAGTTGAACTTCCTATTGAACCCAACCTTCAGATGAACTTTCGAGACTCGGGCCAGTCGCTGCCGAATACATGTATGTCAAGAGCAAGTCGGAATGTCTCGAACGGACGCGGGTCCAGATACAAACATCGCTGCTGGAGCATCTCAAGGTTCCCGAGAATCGCTTCATCTGGTTGCGTGGACCTCCCGGTACTGGGAAGACAGCAATTTGTATGAGCGTTGCATCCGCCCTCAACGGCCAGGCTGCCCTGGCGGCGTCGTTCTTCTGGGATAAGAACCAAGCAGGAACGGGCCTCGATTCCATTGAACACTTCCCTTCTACCCTTGCACACCAACTTGCAGTCTTCAATGAGGACTTCAAGATGTCGCTTGTCAGACACCTCCGGCAGCCATCTTTAGTCTTTGTCAAGAGCCTTCCACTGGATAAACAAATGAGCGCTCTGATCATCGAACCAATGCGCGATGTGATAGAAATGCTGCCTTCTGGCAAGGATCGCTTCATTATCATTCTAGACGGCCTAGACGAGTGTGGGAGTCCTGAGGCATTTGATACTTTAATGAAGCTCGTGCTACAGCTTCACGACCTACCCTCCTCATTTGCCTTGTTGGTCAGCTGTCGACCGGAGTCGCAGGTTGTTCGGGCTTGGGCTCGAGCTCAATCGATGGGTTACGTCATTCCATGCGAAGACACCGATATGATCAACAAGAGTGAGACTTTTCACACAATATGCCGCATGGTAGATGAGGGGCTTAAGGACTGCATCTCCGAATCACTGTGGAAACCCTCAGGAGAAGATCTTTATGCTTTCGCTTCATCATGTCGCGAATTACCTGTTATGGCCTCGATGCGCATACGTGAAGTCTGCGCTCGGACTAAACGAGGTGCCACCCTCAAATCGGAGTTCGATTACTTCCGAGATCTCATGGATGCACCAACTGACCTCAATTCGGAGTACCTGCGAATTCTGTGGCGATCCTATATGCTGGAATCACTGCCTTTCCGTCCAGCCGTGATTAGAAATTACCGCCTTGTAGTGGGGATGATTGCTGTGGCGCAGGAACCGTTGAGTTTGAATTCCATTGCGCAGCTTTTGGGAATTACGGAGGACGAAGTCTATGCAACCTTGAGACCAATCAGTTCAATCATTGATCTTCCTTCAACGGGAGAAGGGCTGCCCAAATTTTATCATGCAACAGCGAAGGAGTTCATCATGGAGCATCCAATCAGTGGCATGCATGACCATCCTTTCTTTATTGATGATAAGGATGGGTATTTCCTGGGGTTACCGCTCCTTCGATTTCTAAGGGGATTAGTGATGCCCACTGATCGTCCTTTGGGGGATGAGAAGATGTGGATGAAATTTCAGTGGAAGGGGCAACCCGAACATATCCGATATGCTGTCAAATACTTGTTCAGCCACTTGGATTCTTCAAAGCTGTTCTCGCGAGTCCCCAATGAACTGCGGCAGGAGTTTGATCACTTCCTTACCCATAACTTACTTTGGTTCATCGTACTGTCGCAGGGTGAATTCAGGTTGCTGGATAAGTTCCTTCCTTCTAACGTGAGTTTATACTTAATGGATTCTGATAATTTGAATGTTGTGACATCATTTCACTCTAGAACAATGATTACAATTCAACTCAACTATTAAGAGAAGCCGAGAAAGCAAACAAATATGTAGTTGACCAATATCGTGAGCAGGAAACCCCAGGTCCCATAACTGTCCACCCCAGCCGCTTTAAAACTAAAGTTGTCTGTTTGATTTATCCTTGGCACATTTTTCGCTCCATGCTTCCCTTCACTCCAACCTCATCTCCACTCTTCAAATTGTACAGTCATCTCTCTGATCCTGTTCAGATTTTTAGCATTTCCGGAGAGTTTGCTGGTCATCCGATTCCATTAAGTGAGCAGGCACTCAATACTCGGAAGATTATGGAGGCAAAGCTAAGCAGGATGCCAAAGGAGCAGCAGGGTTACAAGGCTGAATTTCTTGATCCTGATATTCGTGATGGCACAGTGACTTCTGCAGCAATCTCCAAAGATGGCCACCATATTGCACTCGGCTTTGGAAGTGGTGACATCGAAGTTGTTGACATTGATCAACAGCATTCCATCACTCGATTCCAAAGTGGCTCATGCAGTCCCCCAGTGTGGATCGAGTTTATCTCCGGTAGGCACCGGATCGCTACCGAAGATAATGAAGGGAATGTATTCATCTTCAACGATGGTTCACAGCCTCTGAAGCTTGGTACGCTCCCCAGTGGGCATTCTCCCTCTGTCACTGTGGCAGCGGACAATGGATCATTCATTGTGCGACTGCCGCGGCATCACGATCCCGACTGGTATGAAGGCGTGTCGATCCTGTATGTTTCAGGGGAACCATCCATCCACCTTCTTTCCTCTCCTGGTTCTATCCTTACTTCTACCCCTACTCGCCACTCTTACGGCCTCTCACTTGGATTGTCTCCTGGAGCACGATACGTTATTGCTTGTGATCAGGGCCAGGCTTTCATTTGGTTGACGGAGTCACGCGAGTTCATTATTCATCATCACCTACCAGATTTTGGAGCTTTTGTTACAGGCATAACGTCACACCACCCATACATTACCAGTGGGGCCATTGAGGACTTGGAGGATGCTATCCCTCATACAAGGGTCTCTGGGGTGAAGTTTGATTCAGATAAATCGTGGCTGGAGTCGCTGTCTCATAGAAGCATACAACTCTCACGACAGCGAAGAGCTTCACCAGTGAAAAGACGTCTCCGTCGCAGTAAAGTTCGTCGAGAGCTGGTCAGCATCCCTAAACTGAAGCTATTGCTCAACAATACATTGAAACTCATTCTCCCAATCCAATTTCGTCCAATCACTCTTATTATGGGGTCCCTTGATGAGCCAGGAGAATGGTATGGAGATCGAGTGATAGGGGATGAAGGTTTCATCTACTTTCCCCGTGTTAACAAGGACGGGACACGATTCTTGGTTCAGGGCCGTATGAAAGCACCAATTGTTGTTGATATTAGCCAAATTTAGCACCTCTACATGTCCATGGCCTGCTCTCTTTGTAGTTGTTAGTCAGCTGGGCGACAGTTTGCGTTGTAGTTATTTCAGGGATAGCAGTCTTCACATGGCGTTAAAATATGCACATCATATAGATAGTCTCTGCGTACACTAATGAGGACGATGGACCGGCACATTTCAACACCGTCGGGAGGAACATTAGGCATCAACAAATTACTATTGCATGATCATCCCAGGGTGGAGAAGTAATCTTCTGGTTGCATTGCAACGAACCTTTGAGGCTCAGCAGCACCACATCAAATCTGGGAGACTGCCACCCTTGTTGAGTGTTATGTTACTGCAATCGTTGACGACGACAATCACCTTGCGACGGCAATGAGAGCAACCGTGGTCTGAAAATTGCTTTTTACGCCGCCTCGATATTGCTCCCTAGCATATATTTCACCAGTACTCGATATATGGGGTAAGCTGGAAAAATGAAATCACGAGTCCTACTCTTTGGAGAGTGGAGGAAGAAACAAAGGCATGACAGGATGCTAATCTCGTGGTAGAGATGGTGCCGAGATGTGCCGTATTAGAATCATGGGCTGTTTGTCAATGAATGCATCGGATAGGAACAAACGATTGGCAAATGATGGAACACGATTGTATTGTTCGTGCAAATGAATCGGTTGTAGTTCATCTGACACATAACGTTGGATTGACATAAGAACCCGCTTAAGGGGCCGGTGCAACGGGTGGATCACGACCCATTCATGCTTCTTTTCGGCGCGCAAGTAGCGACATAGTGGGCCGTTTCATACTAGTGCCGCCTTCCGCGATAAAGTCTCTCATTAATCATGAGAATACTCTGGCGAGACGCAAGATCAGGATATTGAAGAGTGGCTAAAACGGATCTGGGAGCAATGTTGCGTTTGGCTCGGCCATCATGAGAAGGGGAAGCTGTAATAGATCATAGGTAAGATAGAGCAGACAGGTTAGCCGCGTACGATTGAGTGCACATTTGGTGCGCCCGAAGAGGTATCCGCAAGGGAGAGAATGGATGCACAATTGATGACGGAGGCAGCTATCTGCCAATTCGGCGCCGACGCATAACATATGTCACCCCAGCGTTCTCCATATACACATGGCATGATACAAAGACAAAAAGCTAGTAGGGCTAGGCCAGCCAGTTTACTGCGTGGAAGTATTTTCAGTTGTGTACGCAATCATCTATCGCGGGTCAGCCAATAATCAGTGTTGTGCGTGACGCGTCACGTCATCTACTAAGCTGGTTGCCAGGCTTATCTCCAGATTGAGCTATGCATTCGACAACTCCGCCAACAGCATCAGGCACCAGATCGTTCAATGCTGGATATGGCCTATGATGGCTAAAGTTGATACTCATAAGGAGGAAGAGGAGCGAGGCGAAGCTGAGGTTGTTGTGGACGGACTCCATATCGACAATTTTGAGCGTTGAGACCAAACGCGAGGTGAGGACGCCACTGTGTGCAAAGACAGCTCACACTCGACCGCTGTGCCTCACACCCGTCCTGAGCCTTCCCGAGATGGCTGCAGTATTATGTAATGCTCAGCACAGCCTCAGGCCCTGAATCGTCAGTTTCATTCGCCACTCAACCCCTATAGGATAAGTTGGTACGTACAAGTGCTAGTTACAAGTGTGCACACTGGCACGTTCGATCGCCATGTTGGGGTCTTTCCTTATCTTGTTGTACATCCCGATCCGATCGATCGTGGCTCCGTCGCCGAACCATTTAGTTCTGGGTACGAACTTCCAGTATGCACTGTGACTTTACACAGGCTGTCAGCTCGCATGTGGCTCCGAAAGGACCCCATTTCTGGGAGGCTCCGTGTGCAGCCATACATGGTTGTTAGTTTCTGCTATAAGCTAGCTTCATTATAATGATGATACTGGTGTGCTGAACGCGTTGATTGGCTATTGTCTACTGTGTGGCTCCTGATTGAACCACCATAAGCCAAGCTCCCTAGCTTGGCTTGTAGACCCTGCACGGGGTTCCAGTGCTACAGGATCGTCCTTAGCGAGAATGCTACGCAACAGGATTGAGCTCTATATATAGTTCCCATGGCCACTTACAGTACCAAACGAAGGCCCTGACCCAAACATGTAATGGAATCAGGGAGGTGTAGAGTGACGGGGCCAGAGTTTCTGGGTGCAATCGCAGCTGTCATCGGTGCGAACGAGCATGCACCTCTGCGGACGGGGGCTCCACCCGGCCCAACCGGCATTGTCTCAGATCGGGATGTATTCGGCTTGTTCGCATCACGTCAATCCAGCCCCGATACGTTCGCTGTCCAGCTGCCACGGGCGAACGTTCAATGCAAATTGTGTTTACGTTCTCTCTGATACAATCTGTCATGTGGTTTTGTTCTCAAATGGTAACCACTCTGGCATAGCGTGGTTCTCAAGTTTACGTCTTAAACGACTTAATGAGCGCACTCCTCATTTGTCTGAAGCGGGCAGGGGCATTTGGCTTTCAGTGAAGCAGCGATGAACACAGTGAATTTGCTCCCACAATGCGTTGCCTCACATTTGCGCGTTCAACGTTATTCTACTCTTTGCTCGGTAGAACTCCTTCGTTCGACTTTCTCGCCGAGAACACCAGTTTGATCTCGGTATCACGGTGGGTGCCGAGAGCAGATAATCACTCGGAACTCATTTGTGCGTCTATCTACTTCCACTTGTGTTGTAATAACGTTAGTTCCCCCATTCGTGGTCTTGATACGCAACTGTGTGGATCTCATGATTCCTGGAGAGCGCAGTGCAGGTCCAGAACAAGAAGCAGGCACCACATTGCAGCTTTTGTACGTATCCCTAAATATCAGATGCATGTGCATCGTGGGATATAAAGAGTTTGTATTTTCAGGTACTAAGCCGTTCATCTCCAGGTTGACGGGAGTGCTTGAGCTCCGAGCGTGTTCATAGTTGACAAGCGCTGACACTATCCGGTGCGTCCTTTAGGTTCGGCGATCCAAAGCTGCTTCTGGATCTATTCTCACTGCTCACTTGACATTCAATCACTATCCAATCCGCTCGCCTCGCTTCACTAAGATAGTCACACAATGAAGATCCACTGCCTCACATCTGCCCTCTCCCTCATCTTCCTCCTCCTAATCTCTCCAACTTGCGCCCTAATCGACAGCATTTCTGCCCCAACAAAAATTCTCCACCCTGGCGAAAAGTTCATCGTGACATTCCACACATCCCCTTTCATCCAAAGCAACCATCAATTCTACGCTCTCTTCGGGATAGCGCCCTTCCCCGGCTTAGGGGTGTCGTTCTTGGGGCTTCCCATCCCGGCTGTGGCCCCCGTTCCTGGTGCAGATGGCGGATTGGGTTTGCGTAACCTTGGTAGTGGCCCTGGTGGGAAGGGAAAATTGGGGATCGATATTGGTGGTATAGATTTGTGGGAGGCGAACTTGGGGAACATTGGTAGCCCGAGGGGATTCAACGTGACGTTGAGGTTACCTGTCGATTTGACCACGACGAAAAATCGAGTGACGAAGTTTGTGCTTCAAACCGGTGTGCTTGGAATGGTATGTCTATGTCTTGGTCCAAACTCCACTGGTTTTTGAGCATCGTGACTGACCGCTTTGATTTTTTTTCCCCATTCCTGCGTATTTCACGTTCGAATTTAATCAACCGATTTTTGGAAACTCGTCAACGACGTAATATTTGGCCTGCTTACCCAGGTTGGGGCATCTGGGTTGACGACGCTGTCCTTTTTCAACACCACAATTAGGACCAAGTCGCCCTAACGCTCCTGATTCTCTCCGCAAATTTCCAAGTAAGTCAACGTGTTGCATCGATAACGTTTCCGTGTTGGACTACATTTACATCTAAATGGTCTGCGTCTTGGTTCTACTCCATCCGATTATTCATCACATGGAATCCCCTGCCAGGCCCCTACAGCACGTTGTTCCTTTGCTCTGCATAAAACTTTGGATCGACCGGTTCAATTTTTTACCACATGAAGGCTCACCCAGGAATTCGATATACAATAAGTATATTAATTCCTTCTACTCCGAACCCGTGCAGCAGATCGTGCCGCTGCATTATCACATCCCCACATTTCACTTGTGCTGAGACACTTATTCTGGACTTCCACACCGGTGAATGCTAGTCGCCTGAAGATGTTCATTCGGTTCTCAGGACCGTCATTCTCAGCTCCATTCCTTCCTTTATTGTCACCTTCCTGCCCTGGTGCGAAATTATGGTTGCCTGGAGCACGTCTCATTCACCCACCATCGTTTTTCTTCGTTGTCTTCACGCACTGCGATCGCATTGAGCCATGTGCATGTGTGCCTGTGGCCGTTCTCGATTCTTTCATTTTGGCTGCATGAAGTGAATCTCAGTGTTTATTCTATCTTTAAATAAACCCTGGGGAGGAGGGAACAGTACGTTTTTGGTTCTTTTCTTTTATGTAATTCGAATTGGCTTCGCGTGTTCTCCTGTTCTCATCATGTAGCTTTTGGTTTCAAGTTTGACGGTCTAACGACTCCAGGACCGATGCGTTTTAAGACCAGCATGCCCAGTGCCATCCAACACACTCGGCATTTTGGAACCGGAGAGAAAGCAGCCCACGTATCTGACTTGGAAGATGTGTGCATTCGCTCGGACCAGAAAGGAACAATTATTCACGTACGAAAAGTTGTGAATACTGCACACTACATTGCATTGGACGGGGAGCTCATTAGAATGACTGACACAACATCACTTGGTAGCTTTCGGGCGCAAGGTAGCGATCTATTATCTACACATCAGATAACCAACGAGCTCTCACCAACTCCAATATTCGGCCTTTTCACCCCAGAAAAGTGGTTTCTGCTGCAAGGCCTGGTGAATATTGATCTTCCTGGGGAACTGATCCAACAAGCTGAGTGTCGCAGCAAGGAAGCATACTTCTTATCAAGTTCCGCTGGTATCACCGAATAAGTGGTGGAAGAACATCCATGTGCCACGATGAGGTAGTGGTGTTCATCGGGTAGCCTCTCGCCACTCGGGGTTTGATGATGTGGATAGGATTGTACGCCGACCAATGAAGTCTGGGCACCGAATTCAAGAATGAGCGATAGGACAGCCACGTCGAGGTCGGGCTTCGTGATTTGTGGGTTTACAGAGTAATACTCATCCTCGGGCAACCTATTTTTGTGATTCCTGATCTGCACTTGGAGTGCAGATGTCTTGCCTCGATCAATGGGCTGTTCAAGACCCCCGAAGAAGACCGGAATAACGAAGCCAAGGTCGATAGAGGACCGTTCAACGTAACAGTTTAAGGCAGCCCCACGCAGAAGCAATTTGGACAAATATTCCACTCGAACTACTTGGGAATCTCCCACCTGAACGAAGTGTGAGAAACTGATATAAGCGTTTTCGTATGCCCTCTCGAGGGACACTGCACCCTCCCCAGCGACCACAGGAAGAGCAGTGAAGATGATTTGGTGATAGCTTGGATGCAACGAAGGAAGTCGAGGACTTTGACGGGTTTATGGAATACCGGGTCAAATCCGTATGACGGGTTATGGCACATCATGGCAGCATCGTGGGCGATGGTCACCAGCAAACGTCCTACGGCCTCTGCATGCTCTCCGCAATCAAGAATCCCTTCACGATATCCGGCTTTCAGTATATTTGGCCCTTTGGAGGCAATGGGCGGTAGGCAGCTCCCAGAGTCACTGCGACCCCCTTGGTTGAGCAACCGTGCGGCGGCCTCGACAAGAATGGGTTCAGAGGGATAACCTGAGTATATGAATTCACGATGCAACGGCACCGCATAGACGACTCGCATATAGGACTCGACCAAAGTTGAGATCTTTGACCGTGCGGCGTGCCGCGCAAGATCAAATGAGAGTTGGAACCTGATGTCAAGGGATGCAAGCATAGCAGATGTGTCTGTTCCATCTCTAGCCTTATCCTCATTGCGTCCGGCTCGAATACCCCCAGCACCAAACGGATCGAGGTTTTTCATGGCGAACGCAAAGACACTCTGTGCTTTCTTTCCCGTTGTCATACATGGAGTACCACCTGAATGTTGCATGCTGGTTAGAACGGTTTTCGAGATTACTGTGATATGTCAAGCACTGACAAGGGTCTACCAAAGCAAACCATGGTACCACTAGAGCATACCATCTTCACCGTAATCGGCGGGCTCAGATCTCTTTCGTGACCAGCGCGTTGCCAGTGGCCTCGCGAAAATATGTCAAACGGCAGTACCGTATATTCTGGAAGCAACTCAGTCTTTTCCGAGACTCTCGTTGACGGATGGGGGGCCATCGTAGTGGCGGCAGACGACCTTAATTTCACGCTTGTTGACAGGAACAAGGTGAAAAAAGGCAGATTGTTCACCCAACTTAATACGTGCGTGAAAGCATCGTGAGCGCTCTGATTTCGTGCATTGCTTCCAGTCCCAGGCTCCTCGGTAAGACTACGAGCCCCATCGATATAAAGGAAGAAAGAGCAGCGATCCAGGTCATCTCTTTCCGATGGTGGACCTTTAGGGTCTGGGTAAAGCACCAGTTCGAGGCACTTTATGGCGTCAGCAAGTTGTGCTTGCAGATTCGGAAAGGGCGGCTCAACGGGTGCCACCCCAGCAATGCTGTGTATATTTGGACGGGAGACGGATGCTATCAAGTCCTAGGAAAAATATGAGTTCAGCGAAGGACGTTACATCAGGCGCCATTGCCTCTGCCTGACTGATTACATCGCTGTAGAACTCCCTCCGATTCGGTCCAGTCTCCAGAAAGTTCTGTCCTTGGGCAAGGTATTTATGCCACCTCTTCGCAATTTCGGAATGCGCCATCAACTTGAATGAGCGAACAATAGGAGTCGCGCAACGGAACATTTGTATCAAGAAAGAAGCATATTTGATTCGTTCGTGTCTGTTGCTTCCGGGAGGAGAAATTCTCGGACGTCTTGATCAGCGGGTGGGTAAGCTGTTTGGGGTGCTCAGCGAATGATGTTCAAGGAAGCGGTAGACAAGAACAACTCACTCTCCAGCGAGTTCTGCAATGGCTCTCCTATGTTCAGAGGAAATGCGAACCTCTCTTCTGCAGACCTGTCCACTAAACGACTTGCTGTCGGCTGTCAAAGCCCAGCATGGGAATCGCACGTGCCGTTGGTTTGTTTTCGTTTTCTTCCAGTTCCAGTGGCCCGTGACCGTTCGAGTTCCAGCTGGACAGCCACGGATAGAAAGCGATTTAGCATTCAACGACTTATACTGAGCAAGACTCCAGCCTCACTAAATCGTCAAGTATCTACATGGACCAGATCCTAGCCTATAGGGCAGATGTGTATAGTATCGCAAAAATTCAGAACGCTCCATGTGCAATTCTCGCCATCCTTCGTGATGCATGAGTCGTTCGATTCAGCAGATTCACAAGATCCAATGGCGCCATTGGAGGCAATCCAAAAGTTGGAGACAGTATTTACTCCAACGTCAACCCCGCAAAGCTGGGCCTCCATCAATGTCCCATAGCTCATATTCTGGCCTGCGTCGTTGTGGTAGGTCAATACCTTAGGACAAGTGTCTGTTGGGAAAACATAGGTTAAGACCAGGAGAAAGTTTCATCTAGGTTTGGTTTACCTACCTTCAACTGAAGGGACGATGGCCCCAAACGGTTGTTGTGTCCTGTTGCAAATGATTTCGCCAACAAGAAAACCAGCCATGACAACGGGAAGTAGAGTAATTGGGGCAAGGGCACTCCACAATCGCATTGTGACTTTCAGCACTGCGGGCAGTATGAGTACGGCATGAGTGGCTAAGTAATGTGAGTTAGGAGTGCTAACCTTAGTCTCGAGCGTAAGTGCGGAGGAGAAAAGGAGGTCAAACCCAACCGGTTATAAAAGAGCTAGACCCTGTTATATTTGGAGAGTGAAAAATGATCTTCCCTACCAAACGACCGATTTCCTTTAGGAGTGAATGACCAGCTAACCGAATATTACTGCGACAGCGTGTTATAACGTTACATAAATAATAAACAGCATGATGCAGATGAACAATTTTCAGAGCAATCTATGCGGTGATGGTTAATTAGACCCGAGTGGCTTACAGTAGTCAGGAAGTGTGTGCATCGTAGCACCAGCTTACAGTGAACACATTCTGTGCAACCATCATCAGCGGAAGTAAAAATGAAATGCATGTAACAGCAATATGAAAGAAGTGAGAAAACCTACAAAACCCCTCATCTCTATGGAATAATATGGAATAAGCCACCGATAAATATTCCTGACACATGAAATGAGCTTTTTCTTTTTTTTTTGGTGGAACCCTCCGTAGCTTTCGCTGGGTAGATTTCTACCTGGGGGGTTGGGTTTAGGGGGAGTACCCCTGGGGATGGGAGTGAAATTGGGATGTCTGTAACTCCACCGTGGGGAAATCCGTTTACGCACTGATCATCACGTGAGTGTGGGGCTCGCTCCGATCTGGGGGTGGGGAACAAGGGGGTCACCATTCGGGAAATGCTGAATACCATGTGTGGGAGGGGGGGGTCTGTCCCAACAGCGCTATACTTATTTTGTCATGTCAAAAATTTTAATTCAAAATTAGTTTGTGTTGGAGGAACCGTGTGCTATGGGAGGCCGGACGAGTTTTCGTACAGCCACATTCCCGCGGTAGCGTGACTACTTAGTCACAACACCTTTTCTCTTTTATATTATTTCAGACTAATCCGTGCCAGGCCACGGACATATTCATTCATTTGAATTCATTTTCCTTTTCCCTCAGTTCTTCACGCATATTGGCTGAGACTGAGTCATTACTCATAGTCCAGCTCCGAGATCACAAGTGTCGCTCATCAACAGTTTGTACATATAAGTCACAGTTATAGATGCCCATCCCCTCGATTATTTTCTTGCCCGTTTGCCACCACGATGTTCGTCATGAGAACCACACATCCAATTTGGTGGGATGTAAGCACCCAGGCCTTGGCATGGCCTATGGAACTGGACTGTCCATCAGAAAAGTACTGCTGTGAGCATCAATGTAATGAACACACCCAGACTGTTTCGCAGTCAGATCCAGTACACCTGACAACCGTAGAGCCATTCTCAATTTCACTCTGGGTGACCTTTATAGTACAGCACATATGGATGGCAGTAGGCTGTTTGGGGGCGAGGCGCATTGGACAGCCACTGGAATATGGTGCTGGCACAGTAGGGGCAAGGAAGGAAGGAAGTGTTGGAGGGGAACTGGGCAATGTGCATCAGCAAAAGTCCGTTATGCTCCGGAGCATCAGGAGTGGCTGGAGCATGTGGGAGACAAAACAGCAGATTGGGCACTCCTGGAGCCAATAGTGTTCTCCTGGGAGGGGGTTCAGGAGCGGCTGGGAGTGGTGAGGAGTGTGCAATGTGCCAGGAGCAGTGGGAGGAAAATTTTGGTCTCTAAAAAGTTGAAAAAAAAAATTTAGGGAAAAAAATCGAAAAAAATTCAGGAACTATAGTGCCTTTAAAGTGCATTCAGGACATATAATTATTTGCGAAATTGAGGAAGAAATGATGGAGAAAAATGGAAAATACTTTCGGAGACCCAAGTAATGAGAACTGAATTGATGGGAAAGTCTGAAAATTGAATAGGAAAGTGAGGGGAAGCCTTGTAGCATTGTTATTTTCTGCTGTTGTGATTTTTCCTGATTCTTCTTGGTCTCATTCCCAGCTGCTCCTCAATACTCCTGGAAGCTCCTGAAAGCTCCTGGGAGGGTCCAGGAGCAGCTGGGAGTGAGACCAAGAACAATCAGGAAAAATCACAACAGCAGAAAATAACAATGCTACAAGGCTTCCCCTCACTTTCCTATTCAATTTTCAGACTTTCCCATCAATTCAGTTCTCATTATTTCTTGGGTCCCCGAAAGTATTTTCCATTAGCTGCTCCTGGACCCTCCCAGGAGCTTCCAGGAGTATCCAGGAGCAGCTGGGAGTGAGACCAAGAAGAATCAGGAAAAATTAGAACAGCAGAAAATAACAATGCTACAAGGCTTCCCATCACTTTCCTATTCAATTTTCAGACTTTCCCATCAATTCAGTTCTCATTATTTCTCGGGTCTCCGAAAGTATTTTCCATTTTTCTCCATCATTTCTTCCTCAATTTCGCAAATAATTATATATCCTGAAAGCACTTCAAAGGCACTACAGTTCCTGAATTTTTTTTGATTTTTTCCCTAATTATTTTTTCAACTTTTTAGAAGTCCCTATTTTTCAAATTTTCCTCATTTCCCTCTATATTCCCCCCTCATTCTCCCCCTCATTCTCCCCCTCATTCTCCCCCCTCATTTCCCCCCTCATTTCCCCCCTCATTCTCCCCCATTTCCCCTTCCTCCATATTCTGCAAGTCCGAAAGTGATTAAGTTGCCAGATTAATCATATATCAGGCCATAAATTTTGACTGTGTATTGGTGAGTCTCAGTGTCCTTGATGTATAGTATAGTGTTTGACCTAAATGTTAAGTAGTGTCTTATTGTGTTAGTCTTGTGGTAGGAGGCATTCATGGGGAGTCTTCCCTCTTTTTTTTCCTTTTCATTTTCAAATGCTCCAGGAGTTCCCAGAAGCTTCTCACCCCTATACATTTTGAAGCATTAAATTGTATTTACTGGATATGTTTGTGCACAAAGCAATGCTCCATGCCCTCCTGGGAGTGCCCTGGAGTACCTGACCAACTCCGGAGGAAATGAGCTGTTCCTGGACCGGCCAATCTCCTCCTGATTCTCCCAGTGCTCCCCATACTCCAGAGCACTCAGGAGCATAACAATTTTTTGCTGATGTGGGTGTATCAGTGTCAGGGATCAGCCCCTGACCCTGCTGTCAGGGCACCCAACCACACCCCAGAACCACCTCCCCAGACTTCCCCCACTTCCCAGACCTCCCCATCCCTACATATCTCTCACAACTTCAGCCCGCATGTGAGCCCGCGGGAAAAATCACGTGGGTCAAGGTGAGCAACTCGCCTTAACCCATGTGACACCTTTTCCGAGTCGCGGGAACATGCTCGGCTTCTATCACATTATGAACTGTACAGTACACTTCCTTTTTATAGTAGCCAAGCGGGGAATAGGGAAACTTACCCTTCTTCTCAACTCAATCCCTGCTTAGGCAAGTTGTAGTTACCCTCTGTAATACATGACAACTCAATCCCTGCTTAGTCCCTTCAGTGAGTTTGAGGAGCTGAGGACAGGGTCTAGTGCCCAACCACCCGGAACACTGCACACACCTAGGCCTGAGGTCGGGCTGTCCCTGATCGAGGACTGAGCCCTGACAATCAGGAAAGCCATTGTTGAGATCAGTGTCAGCCACATAATCAGTATCATCCATGCTTCCCATTGATTCAGCATGTAGCTCCACATTGACATCGGATGGCCTGCTCTCTGTCAGGGCACACCCCGCCTGACCCAGTGCCGCACCCAGTGCCGCGCTGCCCTACTCCGCTCCCCCCGCTACCACGCCTCGTTCCTCCTCCCCCTTTTTCCTTCTTTGTCTCTATTTCTATTCCATGGTTGATTTCCCTTTTCTCTATGTATCATCACACACCTAATACCACTCCCCTGATCGCCGCACCCACCGTGTACATCCCCACCTACAGAGTGGCACACCTTTGGGATCTCCTGCGGAGACACCCAGAGAGGTCCAGCTGTGTGTGGAGATGACGTGGCTCCCCCCACATGACCCTGACCACATGTATATAATAGCACCTGGGGTGGGAACAGAAGAAGCAGCCTTCTTCTCAACTTCCCACTTCAGGCTAAGTGGTCGGGGACGCTCCCCCATGACGGGATTGCTGCTACGCACAGCCAGCATCTGTCCCATCAGGTCCCTTGCGCCGGGACTTCACCGCTTTCGGAGCTGTCCCTGACACTCTCCAAGTCTGTATCACTGTGCAAGTTATGTATATCTAAATTTTATTACAGAAGAGAAGTGGGGACATACTGAAGGCACAGGCGTGAACTATGTGCCGCAGAAATGTTTAGCTTTGTTGTCAAGTGCTTCCTTCATTTGGTTCCCACTCGATTTGCAGTGTGACGACTATTCCAAATGACTTTGAGACCTTCTTTCTCGAATTCTGAGATGCTGAACTCCTCAGGTGGGACTGCAGTAGGATGTTTCTTGATGTAATGGAAAGCCATATTATACTTCCAGACTATATTGGACCCTGGACCCTTAGGACACCGTGGACATTTAACTGGGATGTTGGCGCATGGGTTTGAGGCTGAGGGTTTACTAGCGGCTGCATAGGAAAAGTTAACAAGCCTTTGACATGTTGAATTAGCATAATCAATTGTAAAGGAGCCCTTGTACTTCTTTAGAGCAATCTGACACGATGGTGTCAGGGCACACCTGCCTGACCCCGTGCTGCACCCCGCGCCGCACTGCACTACTCCACTATCACTCCCCATCTCTCCTTCCCCATTTTCCCCCTTTTTCTCTATTTCTATTCTACGGTCGATTTCCTTTTCTCCATGTACCACTACATACCTAACCCCGCCCCCCCCTGATTGCTGCACGTGCCGTGCACACTCCCACCTACCGAGTGGCCACCTCCGGGATCTCCCACGGAGACACCCAGGGAGGTGCAGCTGTGTGCAGAGATGACGTGGCTTCCTCCACATGACCCTAGCCGCATGTATATAATAGTGCCTGGGGTGGGAACAGAAGAAGCAGCCTTCTTCTCAACTTCCCACTTCAGACTAAGTGGTCGGGGATGCTCACCCTGTGACAGGATTGCCGCTATGCACAGCCACTATTCATCCCACCGAGTCCCGCATGCAGGGACCTCGCCGCTTTCGGAGCTGTCCCTGACAGATGGAGCCAGTAAGAGACAGAGCCCACAAGGTTCTTCCTCGCGATTAATGGAAGGATCATGCAGGATATGAGCTGCAATGTGTGTCAGCAGCTTGGGGCCTGTTTCAAAGATCGCGTGACAACAGGGACAAGAATCGTTAGTCATCACATCTTCTCCAGACCCTTCAATCTCACACGCAAAACATGTTTTTCCTAGTGGGAATGTCAATGACACCAATACTACATCTACTGGTCAGAGCTAACTGACTCACCGTTGATCTGGTAAGGGAAATTGCTTGTTTGTCTGACTTCAATCATTCTGCATTGATCTTCCAGTGAAAGCGACCCAAACATCATCCCTGCCAACTCATGTAGCTCATCGCTGCGGAACCCGTAGCCCACGGTCATTTTCAAGGCATCTCCTTCACTGATTTCACCAATTCTCTGTCAGGGACAGCTCCGAAAGCGGCGAGGTCCCTGCGTGCGGGACTCGGTGGGACGAATAGCGGCTGTGCATAGTGGCGATCCTGTTGCGGGGTGAGCGTCCCCGACCACTTAGTCTGAAGTGGGAAGTTGAGAAGAAGGCTGCTTCTTCTGTTCCCACCCCAGGCACTATTATATACATGCAGCTAGGGTCACGTGGAGGAAGCCACATCATCTCTGCACACAGCTGCACCTCCCTGGGTGTCTCTGCAGGAGATCCCGGAGGTGGCCACTCAGTAGGTGGGTGTCATATCCATACAATCCTGACCTCCGTTCCGGGCTCCCGGAACTCCGAACCTGACTTCCAGAGTCCTACTTCCCTTCTGCCACCTCCTCCTTGCCGACTTCCAAGAGGTTATCCCACCTCCGGCTCCAACACCACCTTCGGTCCGACTCTGGAACATTCCGGGTCCGACCTCATCCTTGACACTTTCCAGACGAGCATGCAACACCTATGCTCCCGACTCCGGACCTCCGCTCCGGAATCCCGTTTGCGTCTCCGTCTCCGGAACCTCCGGTCTTAGCTCCGACCTCGGACTTTGACCCCACCTCCGCTTATACCCATTGTATTGGTTAGCTCATTCCATTTAATCATGTTTGCCAATATTCCGGAGTTTAACCTCCGAGTTCGGACTTTCCGGACTTACTCCGGACCTTGCAACTATTGCATTGTCCATTTCAATTCCGCTATTCTCCCTCATTCCTATTTGGGCTGCTGCTTCCTTCTATTCAGTCAGCTAGCCATTCCCGACTCCCATCCTCCTTCCTTCCTTCTTGGGCCTTGGCCCTTCATTCCTCCTTTGGGAAACACCATTGAGTCAAACACTTGACCCTTGGTGTTGTTCCTCTTTCCATCTCCCTTTGTCTCCTTTTGTCCTACCCTTGTTCCTTTTGATTCCGGACCCCTCCTTATATACAATGTACCTAGTAACTTGTAACCTCAGTCCGAAATCGACCTGAATTCCCCCCAAGTGTCAGAGTCCGCGCGTCAGTTCACGCGTAAGAATCTCCCCGGGAAACTAGTCGTTGTAAAAGCTGAGGGGCCAACCCAGCTGGCGATAAGGCCTTATATACATGAGTTCCGCAACTCATAAGAGTGCGGCTACATTGGGAACACATGGTAGCCGATAGAGAAGCGACATGAAATAGGAGAATAGATCATGCGGATAAGGGGGCGATAACGGGTGAGGGATGATGTGATAGCGGAAATAGCGCATTGAATACAGCCCGCGTTCTAACTACGGCAAATCATACGCAGATATCGGCTTATGGGTACTCAACCTATCCGGATAGGGGTCCGGGCCGGCTGGATAACCGTCCGTGCCCTGACACCAAGAGACTTCCCCTCTGCTAGATCCGAAATTAGGGACCCCTAGGACAACCAGCAATGGCACAGCGCTCCGCCTGAGTTGCTGAGGCTGAGGTCCTTCCATGCTAAGTCTCCGATTCCACTCCGGAGTCGTCTGAATCTGCCCGGTTCTAACAGCGGGAGTGTGTGCGGCGTGTGCAGCGATCAGGGGGGGGTGGGGTTAGGTATGTAGTGGTACATGGAGAAAAGGAAATCGACTGTAGAATAGAAATAGAGAAAAAGGGGGAAAATGGGGAAGGAGAGAGGGGGAGTGATAGTGGAGTAGTGCAGTGTGGTGCAGGGTGCAGCACAGGGTCAGGCGGGTGTGCCCTGACATTCTCCCCCTGATCGTTGCTCCAATCTCAACAATCTCAGGATTGATCTGCTGGATGAACTTTCCGGGAGCTGTGGCAGAAATGTCCTGTTCGTGTTCCCATGCCCAATCAGCGTCCTTCCCATCTGGCAATGTCACATTCAGTGGCCTTAGGCAAAGAACCTGGATGCCTATCAAGACAGTGTCTTCGCTCAGTAAGTTTTTCGGCACTACACTCCGGGGACTGTTGTCTATCTTAATGGAATTGACTTGTGCGATACCTAGGAAAGGGATTCCATCGCATCGCAAGAGCACAGCAACAGGGTCTTGGATCAAGAGACATTCTGTCTCTGTTATGGAATCATCACCGATATGGTGATGAGGCAGGGCGAGTGGTTGGCCAAAGCGGGATATGTTGGCCACACATCTCAGACGGTCTGTTGAATTTGATACTCTTGTGAATCTCGTGAACTCACGGAGAACTTTTGCCTTGTGCACATGCTTCCCATTGCCCATGTCGATTGTACTCTCCAATCCATGTTTTTCTGCAATGTCGCTGTCAACGAGCTCCTCAAGTTCCAGTGTGTTGGGGATGAGTGGAGTGGATGGTGTTGATTGGGCTTGCTGGGGCATTCCATCATGAGTTTCTTCGCACTCTCGATCTTCATATCCTTCCATTCCAAATGGGTTTAGCAAATTGGCACTGGGAATGGACTCCATTGCATTGAATTTTTCGGCAGGTTTGAACGTTGCCAACTCAGGGTCATGTTCAACTAGTTCTCTCCCGGACCTCCACGCTGACATCAGCTGTACCCTAGAGATGCGGACATCCCCCTTCCATGATGCTGGATTCAGATGGTCCACTTTCTGCTCTATCCCTCCTGCCACACTTAGACCCTGGAGCTGAAGTCGACGAGGACCACGGTCCCATTCTGGATGTTGTGAAAGAATCGAGTGGCACTCTATGGCCCCTGATGTTCAACCAGATAAACTGTATGTGCTCACATTGACATCGCTCCCCTTCTGAGATCTAATGAGTCCAAAAATCCATTCCAATCGATTGGTGCCCAACAAGATCAAGTAGAACTCGCCATCAGGTTTGTCACGCTTCATCTTTGCTACACAAAAGAATGCGTTTTTCACCATGATCTGGATATCACGATAAAGCAGTGATGGGAGGTATGCCGACCGTGTGTTATTTTGGGTGAAAAAGACGTATGCCAGGTGCGCCGCAGCACTGAGATATTTTAGCTGGTCATGAAGGCTCATGTTGACATCTATATAGGGCAGGATGAGATATCGGAGGAGTTTTGAGTGCTGGTTGAGGGCAATGCAAGCTTTGTGGAATATGGGATTGGCAGTAGCCAGGGGTGGTGGAAGCCACCAGATGAGTTGCATGAGGTTAAACATTGTGGTTACATCTTGCTTGTCCGTAATGTTCAACAGGTTATTGATTTGGCTTGCTGAACACCCATTCTCTTCTAGATGGGATCGCAGGACTGAGGGGGTAATCTGGACTCCACCTATCGAGACGCCACTGGGCCTAAGGTGTGCATGCCGAAGCCGTTTCATAACATGTTTGTAGTCTTTATCAGATGTTATCTCATCCTCTCCCACCTTCAGATTAAGCAGTAGGAGGCCCCCCAGGTACGTGAACAAGCAGGATGTTGGGGAAAGTGGCATGCACTCCATTAATGAAACAAGAGCCTTTCTGCGCCTTGATTCGCCATCGGAGGCTAGGCAGTATACCTTCCCCTTTATAATCCCTTTCTTCTCGTTACAAGCCTTCCATGTGTCAGGGGACGACTCCCGGGTCCCCATGACCCTCCCCTATGGCCCACAGCCTCAGGTCTGGCCAGCCCTATCCAGGGCACAATCTACTGTGGGTAAGGAGATGAGATAAAACAAGGGCAAGTATATACACTTGCCTACTGTGGGTAAGGAGATGAGAAGGAAGCTAACTTCTCATCTTCCCACAGTGGCCACAATATCAGCAAAACTTCCGGGGATACCCAGAAGTCACATGAAGGGGTAGAGACCGGGTCCGGAGCATGCGGCGCGTGGAGCGTGCGTGCATGCGGGAAGCGCAGCGGGTGGAAGCGGGTCCGGATGCGGGTCCGGGTCCGGGCTAGTCAGGGTGTGTGCCCTGACACCATGCAAGGTGGAGAAGATCTGAATGCGCACTTGCATCCTCACTCTTACATGTCGCGCTTATCAGGAAGGGACGTGCAATATATTCACGATGGTTTCCGATAAGTGCTCCAATTGCAGCAACTGTAGCCTATAATCCTCGTTGAGGTTACTGATAAATTTAATCATCTTCTATGCCAGATGCACCTCTGTACCAAAATGCACCCTTCTGTTTGCTAGGTCATCAAACATTGCATGTGCATCGTCAATGTTGTTGAGGACACATGCATTGGCACCCGAATGCTCTCGACAAAGGCCAACCACACCGTTTGTATGTGGGCACCAGTCTAACATCTCCTCCACCTTTATCTCATCGATCATGCAGACTAAGCCGAGATCTTGATCACTGGGTGGAGCGTCAATTTGATATGGAGCATCATTTGAGGTGAGTTCATCCAAAGTTGGGTAACTTAGAGATGCTCGGATCGAGGTTGTGCAGTGCCATCGGGTCGTGGATATCCCAGGCATACCAAGTGCCGCATGTGCAAACTCTGCCACCCGTGCACCTCCTAGTCGGTAGAGCACAACACTCATGAGGTGCTCTTGTTCGGTGTATCTGGGCCTGTAAGTACCCAATGCTGCTCTCCCAATACATCGGATAATCTCGTTAACTCCATGTCTCTTTTGTAGTGCGGATTGCACAAGTTGACCCATGTAAGGAGCATTGTGTCAGGGATGTGTCCGGGGTAGAGGGGGTCCGGATGTATCGCCCGGCAGAAGGGCCCTCACGGGGTGCAAACCAGGCGTGCATACTGGTGGGTCCGGGAAGGGACAGCAGTCCCTGGCCACTTAGACTGAAGTGGAGAATGTGAGAAGAAGGTTACTTCTTCGGTTCCCACTTCAGGTACATTTATGTACATGCGGCTTGAGTCACATGACGAGTGCCATGTCACCCTCGGAGACAGCTGCAGGCATCCGGGTGTCCCTGTGGGGGATCCCGAGAGCATCCGCTGCATGTGTGCGTGCTGGGCACAGTGGGAAGCCGTCCGGGGTGTGTGGGCTGGATGGGTCAATAGTACATTGATACAAAGGAAGGTGGTCCATGTAGATAGAAGGAAATAAACGAGAAAAGGAAGATGAGAGGAATGAGATAAAGAAAGGAGAAGAAGGAGAGAAGGGAGGGGGGAGGGGGGGAGGAAGGAGGAGGGAGAGGGTTGGACAGCAGGGAGCGGGTGTGGTGTGGCCGGGTGGGTCCGGGTGGACCCGGGTCAGGCGGGTGTGCCCTGACACATTGCACTCACTCACAGCCATAACAAATCTTTTATAATCCATATTTGAGGTTGCCAGTAAGTCAAGTTTCCGATTGGTATTAAGGAAGTGTAGTTTGAGAGCATTAATCTGATTGTCCTTTCGTCTGAGCATTTCAATTAGCCTAGATGTCCCGAGGTATTTGTATGGCATAGTTTCGGGAACACATCTGTGAACACGATCTTGAATCTGACAAAGCCTTCGATTATTTCCGATAGTCCGGCATTCTTGGCATGGTTCATCAGCCTTTGGTGTGGACTGAAGACAGGATGGGGCGTATATGGTAAGAACACCACCCTTTATTTGAATGTTCCAAGCCATTGCTAACTCCGCTTGTTCCTTCCATGGCCAGTCAAGATATGCATTTTTTCCTTCAGGAATATTCATTTTCACCCCCTGGCATGGGTGGGGGTCATCGATTACCTGGAGTGGCGAGTCACTATCCTCGTCAGACTCCACAAAGATTGGCTGAAGTTGTGTTCTAGGTTGCAGTAGGAGAGGTGTGTGCTGGATGGGAGAAGTTTTCTCTTGCAGCACTGAGGAAGGTGCTAATAACTGAGGCTGAGACACTGTAGGAACTCTGCGAACATTACACTTCAGCATACAGGCAGACATTCATGGTGACGTACACTTTTTTGGCTTCCTCAATCAAGTTATTGATCCGTGTCTCCAAAATTTCTTCAGAAGCAAACCCATGGCCAACAAAGAACTGGAGTGTGTTACACAGTCCTGGTAGCCCCATTGGCCCCCATCTTATCGCTGAAGGCAACAATCCATTTCGCTTTGCATATTCACTGCAAATACCGTTCAGCATTTTATCCAACCACTCATATGGGTCTTCGTTGGGCTCTTCCAACTGTTGAACAGCCACTATCTCTTTAGGGTCTCCAGCAAGAGCTGCGATGCAATCTGAGGAAATTGCGAGGGGGATGGTGTCAGGTAGGTGCACAGCAATGTCTCTTAGTCTTGACAAGGGCGATGCTGAATCAGATCCTTTATCTAGTTGGTCAGGAAGTGTCTGGAGTTCTTCTGTACATGCCTGAGGATTGCACTGCAATGCAGGGGTTAGGGGTGGGAATGAATGGGTGGGTGAGTGGGGGGTTGCACTCCGGAGCAGAACTGGGGGAAATATGCAGGGGTGCACAGACTCTTTTTTTTTGAAAAACAATGCCATTAATGTAGCTTGTGCTCGGGACCCTGCATCCTTGCTCCTTTTCTGCTGTAATTCATGGCACCGTGCTTTGCCAATGTGATTCAGCATGTTGTTGGGTCCACCCATCCCCAAAATAATTGTCTCATTACATTGTGGACATACTCCAGAATAGTCAGCCGGATACTTGTTGTGAATCTAAGGCAGCTATCTTAGTAAATGTTCCTTTGGTTCAACATGAGTCCATTCAGTACTTGCCTTGCTTCGGTGGAGGTCCATGCGTCTTTTAGAAGTGGTTTGTGTCTTACCAAATTTAGACATGGCAACTACTGAATAAATCGGCATACTCCGATTGAATTGTACCAGGGGGGAGGGTCTAGCTGGAGCAGCTTAAATACAAATGGTACATGGTGTATAAAATTTCCCAAATGGTGACCCCTTGGTGGGGAATACCCACTAAAACCCCACTGGTACATAGCCAGTTAGCAGGGATGATTTCGGTTGCAGTTGAGAGGTCTTTCCAAGTTTCCAGGACTAGTCTTTCTGGTAGGGCCTTCTTCCCGTATCTCTTGCTGTTGGTGAGGATCAAGGGGGTGTCGGCATTTCCCGGTTGAAAGGTATGCCGGGGGGGGGGTCATGGGTGGTATCAACGCGTAACTTCATGTACTTATGTGGCCATAGTACAACGTATAAAAATGTTATTCTAGTAGCTAATCCAAGTAAGAAAACTATTTGTTTGACTATTTTTGGGTGCGGCACCGCTTCTGGGGCTGGTGGTCAGGACATTTCCAGTGTTCCTCAGCCTGAAGTAGCTCGACACATTCTAAATGAAACCATCAAATATTCCAAGTAAGAGAGTAAAACCATATATCATGTAAATAACAACATACCCAGCCATACTCGCACCCATTGTGAGTGCACTTGACAGCATGCCCCATGTCAGGGGACAACTCCTGGGTCCCCATGACCCTCCCCTATGGTCCACAGCCTACTGGTGTAACCAGCCCTATCCAGGGCACAACCTACTGTGGGTAAGAAGATGAGAAGGAAGCTAACTTCTCATCTTCCCACAGTGGCCACCATATCAGGCAAACTTCCGGGGATACCCGGAAGTCAGATGAGGAATAGGAACCGGGCCCGGAGCATGCGGCACGCGGAGCATGCAGGGCGGAGCACACATGCGGGTCCGGGTCTGGGCTAGTCAGGGTGTGTGCCCTGACACCCTGCTGCAATATCACTTTCGGATGGTGATTCACCACAGTGGCACCCGCCAAAAATGTCCTCCTCTCCAATAACCCGTCGCTGGCAGCCAGATCTAGTGCTTGCCTTGTACTGAAATGGGCTTTGGGACAAGTTAGTACATGATGTTGAAGGGATTGAGAAGTTTAAGAGACTCATGCCCAAAATCGTAGCCTACAGGAGATGCTGGACGATTGCGAGTGCTGGGTTCGTCCTCTGGATCAGAGATCGGTTGATCATCATCCAATCCTCCCCCATCTTCCAAGTCAGGATTGGCCTGGGGGTCGACAGGTGTGTGGTTAGTATCTTCAGATGTCATCATTCTGTGACAGCCCAATAAGCCAAATTTTGAGACCTAATAAGAGTAATCACTCACTCAAAGACTATCCGTGAACTATGAGCTTCTGATATGGCAAGCACAGCAGACTGGCTGCTTGAGCCATTCGTGCATCTGCTGGATGACTTCTGTAGTGACAGCGATATTTTCGCCCATTTAGCCTTCATTCTAGACATTTCCTCTGTAGATAATGCATAGTCCGGTGAGTAGTGAGCTAAATTAATAGGATGGGATAACTTCAAATGTTCTTCCATATTATATTTCCACACAACCACCTTGCATAATGGGCATTCCACTGGCACATTCGAACATGGTGAGTGTGATATAGATTTGGATGCGTGTGCATATCTAAATGACAATGTTGGTAGGTGATTGCAATGAGAAGCAGGTAAATCGATTCGGTAAGGTTGGCGAGCCCTGATAATGAGTTTAAAGCTGCATTGACCAGTGGGACGAAGACAGAATCCGCATGGTTGATCCGAATGCACCAATCGGCCATCTGTCAGGGCACACCCGCCTGACCCGGCTCCACCCAGCCCAACCTGACCCAGTACCCCACTGTCCACCCTTCCTTACCTCCTCCCCCTTTCCCTTCCTCCCTCCTCATTCTTCCCTCCTCACTTTCTCCCTATCTTACTTCTTCTTTATTCCCTCTTTATTCTACATGGACGACTTTCTTTGTATCAATGTACCATTGACCCATCTGCAGCGCGCCCACCATGTACCCAGCCCAGGCACCTTGGGTGACTTCCCACTGTGCCCAGTACACGCACCTGCACCGGATGCCCTTGGGATCTCCCACGGAGATACCCGGGTGGTTACGGCTGTGTGCGAGGGTGACATGGCACCCGTCATGTGATCTAAGCCGCATGTATATAAACGAACCTGAAGTGGGAACTGAAGAAGTAGCCTTCTTCTCAACTTTCCACTTCAGGTAAGTAGTACAATATTTCTCCTCTAATGATAATAACAACTTTCCACTTCAGTCTAAGTGGCCAGGGACCACTGTCCTGCATCGGGCCTGTCAGTACGCACGCCCGATCCGCCCCCTGCCAGGCTCTCAGCCCCAGACGCTACACCCGGGCCCCCTCGACCCCGGATGAGTCCCTGACACTTACCGACTGGATTTCTGTATGGAAATGTGGGTGATACCTTAACCTTTGGTAAGTTGGGCATCCCTTGGAGTCCATGGATACTAAACAGTGATGCTGCTAGCCCTTGCAGTTCTGTTTTTGTAAATATAAATGTTGCACATCCAGCGACGTCATCTTGCCAAATAGTCGGATTAATAGGGTGAAGGTAAGCTCCTGTGGTCTTACTGCACTCCATTTCTAATTTCCAGTCCTTCCATAGCCAATCCTCGTCACCCTTGCAGATTGTCTCACTTTTCAACGTGAGAATGTGGAAACTAACTTCGATGACATGCTCAGAGAGTACTGTCAAAGGTATGGCTTGTGTTCCTTGCCCATCGATCTTCAACACCGAAATCTGAACCACAGCCAGGAATGGGATATTCTCAACATTAGCGAGAGTCACAGCTGGATCCCCAATGCAAATGCTGTCACCAAAGATAGTGTCATCAGCATCGATGTTGCTTATTGTACCAGTAGGTGTAACTGAGAATTGGGTGAGTCCAGCAATTCGCTTCTGTCGATCTAGGGATCCTTTTTGATGGACGATACTTTGGAACAGGGCCTTCAATGCCCACACTTTGTGAATTGTCTTCTCTTCCCCAGTTTTCTCATCATGGATTGAGAGATAGGGCAAAGGGTCCCTATAGTTGTTGGTTATGGCCCCAAGTATATTATCCTCCAAATCCAGCCCAGCATCAGGTCTGTCTCCTATAGGATTCGTCGCTGCGTCTTCCACCCCACTGATCATACCGGCTTCAATTTCTGGAGCATCCATATTTGACCCCAACAACGAGATTGCTGTTGCATCTCTGACATCATCCTCATCCTCCCTTTCAAGATCACCATCGGTTGCGGTAGATGCGTTTATACTGAGTTTCACAATCAGTTGTCCAAACAGTGAGAGCATGTCAATCCCTTCATGAGCAGTGATGTTGTTGATTAGTTGGGGGATTTTATTGTCAAGTGCCACAGCGAATGAATGCCCATTTAACCAACATGTCAAGGGGAGGACATCTTTGACGCTCACCTCCCCCTTCCAGAGTCCGGGTGTGATATGGTCAATATGCTGTGATTCCTTTTCCAGTTCTTGAAGGGATGGTAACCTCAAACGCTGTGGGCTCCGGTCCCATTCTGGATGGTGAGCAAGTATGTTTTGAATTTCAGTGACATGCGATAATCGGGTTGATAGCTGAAGTGTGGTAGCGTTTGCATCATTCCTGACCATTGTGCATAGAATACTGAATGAAATCTCGAGGCGATCTGTTCTGAGGAGAATGATATAGAATTTTCCCCCCTGATTGTAAGTTTTTTCTTTTGCTATGCAGAAAAAAACATTCTTGATGGCAATCTGAATGTCAATGTAGAGTTGTGTTGGCATGAATCGTCCCCTATTTGGATTTTCCTGGAAGAGGATCAGGAGAAAATGTGTGGCAGCACTGAGATGTTCAAGTTGCTGCCAAAGACTGAGTGTGATGTCGATATACAGTCGCACAAACCAGAAACAGACCCGGCCAAAGAGGTGGAGAGTGTAGTGCTGGGCTGTCCAGATTGGATCCTTATTGTTGGTAATTAAGGGAAGATCCCAGATGGCTTTCAGTAGTTCAATGGCCTGCTTATCAGCTGGGTTGAGCAAAGCCCAGTTTGTTGTGAATGACATTCCATTTTGACAAAGATGTCTCTCGAGAATTTGCGGAGTGATGATGGTGTCAAAAATGCTGAAGCCTGCTGGGCAAAGGGTGAGTGTGCATAGCCTCTTGAACAGATGCTTATAGTCCTTATCACAGGTTATGTCATGTTTACCAACAAGATGGTTAAATAATGGGAGGGGGGAAAGTATCGGATAGATGGGGGACATGTGGGAGAGGGGTTCCCTCAGTGTGATTTGGGCAAGTGCGGCACCTCGATGTGATTCACCATCAGATGCAATGCTGTACAGAGCACCCTTCAAGTCCTTCCTGCAAGCTTCGATTACAATTTTGATCAATTTGGCATGGGTTTGTGCACCCTCACACTTGCATGTTGGGGAAATTAGAATTGGCCAAGAACCATATATCCTTGCAAATGATGACAATGATCCCACAGCTCCAATTGTGGCCTATATGATACAAATTCACATCGGTATGAGATCATTTCTAAATTCATTGCTTACCTCTGCTGCCAGATGCATGACTCCATCCCGGACCCCTTCAAACAAGCGATCGGCTTTGTCTGCACTTGCATACTCGAGTGCAAACCTGTCACTATGCTCATGACATACCCCAACAATGTTATTTATGGATGGGTCATATTGTGAAACTTCTTCAATCTTGATCTCGTCAAACATGAGAATGTAGGCCCCAAGAACATCGCTAGGCTGCTCAGTGCTACCAAAAGTCCCAGCAACCAGTGAGACCGAGACATTATGGTGAAGTTCATGAGCAGTTGGAAGCCCAGTCGAGATATGGAGTGGCTCTGTTGGCCGATTGTGCTGAAGTGTGGTGACAGTGGGGGTGCCAAAGGCATTGTGTGCGATGCTTGCCAGCCGTGTTCCTCCCAGCCAAAGAAACAGTAAGCCCAGCTCCATTTCTTGCTCAGTGAAGGACCAGGCTGAATATGCCTTCTTTGCTGCTTTTGTAAAGAGTTCCACAATCCTCTTCACACTCATCTTCCTCTTCAGTGCCACCCACATCACCGCATCAGCTCACTTGACATCTCTGGACGACACGATCATGAGCAGGCATTTATGTTCATCAATTGCCCATGTCTTTCGGCCTAGCTGCATGTTGGCATTGAAAACCAGAAGCTGATGTGTTGCCAATCGCTTCTGTGTCCGTTGTAGGAGAAATAATATTCAAAGAATAAAACAATGATCTATCAGAATAGTCAACGAACAGGTGACAAGTTCAGACGTTTAACAGATCTCATGATCTTTATGAGACTGGACAGACATTAGATCATTATAAATTATCTACACCCATGTAGTATGAGATTTAATCTACTACAATCATGCCTAGAACTTGGCATAGGTGTAATATTCAAAGAATATATCCCTACAACAAGAAAATAGCACATAGACGGCAGAATAAGAAGGAACATTGGGAAAGAAATGTGAATATCTCGGGAACCAGTAAACCTTTGACTGTAATCTTTTTACCATCTGAAAGGACTGTTTCTTAACTTTATCCACGGTTTTGTTTCATTCTAAAAGCTTCAAAACTGACGGAGATATCGCTCAAACGGCGAAACACCTTATAATTCATATATATTTATTTGCTAATTCTTACAAAAAGTAATGTGACTCAAGGGAAATATATTGGCGCCCGGAAGTCTGGCGGACCGAATACCATATGACAGAGTATTCCCCGGCGCGGGCGGACAGTTTTTGATCGCATCAGAAGAGGAGAAAATGCTAAAAAACCGGATCTTGTATATTTTCCCATGATTCATCAAAACTTTTTGATTTTAAGCTCAAATAAATCGGAACAAAGGAATGATTGATGATCTGGATCTCGGATCATAAGCATGAAGTGATTCAGAAGTCCGCGGATCGGTTAATTAATTGGGAAGGCTCTAGAACATTAGTAATGATGTGGCTTCACAAAAAGGGGTGAATTAGAGAACAGTCTAGAAAGTTCCTTTATAGCTGAGTCATTTCTAAAGATAACCGTTCGTAATTAAGGCGGTATAGAGCATAGCTTTAGCGCTACAAGATCCCGCTAAGATCGGCCCAAAAGACAAAGAAATGAATTACTTATTGCTGAGTCATGTCCTAAGTCCATTATTAAGCTTACACAGCCCAAGCCCCTATATCATTCTAGAACTATCTATAATACAAATGTAGCACATGTAACTAGTGCGAGGCGTGGGAGTAGAGAGGCCTCTGAAAAGCATAAAAGGCCGCCGCTTCTGCCCCCTCTCAAACCTCAGGTAGAAATAAAAGTTTAATTCTCCTCACCAGTGGTTGGTTTGTTTGCTCCAAAAGATAAAAGCAAATATTAGTTGTTAGCTAATATAAAACTAACACGTCACTCTAAGCGTGAGTTAGGGTCAGTTAGACACAGCTGAACAAAAGTGTCATAGTGAGAATTAGTGAGAATTTGGTGGAGGGACTTCTTAATTGAATAATCTCTCAGCAATACTTGGTTATCACACCACAGGAGAAAAGTGAGCGATCCTGAACCTGCTAGATAACTAGCACGCACTCTAAGCGATAGAAAGAGCAGTTTGGTCACTCCTGTATTGAGTAACATTTGTTGCGGAATTATTTTATTAGTAGTTTTCCTTCAGTAAATTACCAGGAAAATCACATCCTACTGAAAAGTGGTATATCTAGGTATAATATTGACTAGAAATCATAGTAAAGTCAATATAGAATTTTATCCATAGACGATCTATATGTCAGGTGAGATCGTTGGGGGGTGTTTATTGTTGTTTAGACAGTGAACAATTATATATTTGGCAACCAAAACACGGTCAGTATGCAAATCAGCACAAACTCTAATATTGTTATTGGACATAGGAAACTGGTTACATAAGGTGATCCAGCTCCACTCCTTCACCGCTCTTGTGTGGTCCGGGTTATATGAGTGTAGTATTTGGTGTGTTGTTTTGTATCTGTTGTTCAGGTATAGCTCTTGGGTTTCATCGGTGTGGGTCTCAGATAGGCACAGTATGGCTAGTTTTTCTTTTTTCATTTTGGTCATTATTAGGTTCCATTTGTTTTTTGTGTTGTGGCTGTTGGCGCCTTTTATGTTTAAGGCACCTATTTTTATGTGGCTGGTTTGCAGTGGTGGGTTCCTCCCACCTCTCAGTCTCAGGGGTTTGTTTGTTGGGTTGGAGATGGCGCTGGGGGGGAGGGGTACTGGGTTTGCAGGGTTGGCTGGTTTTGTTTTTTGTCTAGTTTGTCTTGTTTGTGCCATGGCTCGCTTAGTACTCACCCTCTTGCCTGCCATGGGCAAGGCCTGGGGGTGAGGCAGGATTGCTGTTGCGGCCCCTCTACCTCCTAGTGTGAGTAGGGGGGGACCTCATGGTTTGGTGCTGGTATGCCGGACAGCACTACCAGGTGGTGCTGGTTTCACCATGCTCCCCTCCAGGTTCCTTGGGATCTCTAGAGGGGCTGGATTCATTGTTATTGTATTGTACTTATTCATGTTTAGTGTGTTAGTCAGTTTTTGAGAACCTGACTAGGTTCTTGAGTGAGTGAGAGCTTGCAGGAGGACATGTTTTAACGGGGGGTGGGCAGGTTATTTATATTGGGTGTCTGCCCTAGGGCCTCTGGTGTTAGTGTCAGGGCACATACCCTGACTTAGCCCGGACCCGGACCCGCGTCCGGACCCGCTCCACTTCCCGCGCACTTCCTGCGCCGCACGCTCCGCGCGCCGCATGATCCGACCCCGGATCCCACCTCATGTGACTTCCGGGTATCCCCGGAAGTTTTCGCCATATTGGGGCCACTGTGGGAAAGTGAGAAGTTAACCTTCTTCTCACTTTCTTACCCACAGTAGGCAAGTGTAGCCTACTCTTCATTTATCTATACACTTTCTTACCCACAGTAGTTATGCCCTGAGATGGGCTGTGTTTACAGGCTAGACTGTGGACTGTAGAGAGGGGTCATGGGGACCCGGGGTCCGTCCCCTGACAGTTAGAGACCAGATCGAGACAAAGGATTGTCTCTGTGGTGGAGGGCTTCAGCCTCAGTGACTCAAGCCAGGAGCACTGTGCCAAGTTACACGTCTGTGCCCTAATTTACTTACTGGCAACGAGAACTAAAGGGGGATCAACTCTAGTTGATTTTTATCACTGAGGTGTAACCTATGTACAAGTTAAGTATATATAGTTACAGCAAGAGCAGGCCCATGAATGGTGGGGCCGAGCAGAGCAGAGCTAATGGAGTTAAACATTGGCTGACTGAATATTACCGACAAGTCAGGTTACGGGGTTAGCGGAATGGCAGGCGATAACCCAGAAACGGAAAGGAGGGATAGACCTGAAGGTGGGCTTGCAGGGCAAGCAAGTGAATTGCCCAGTGGAGGCAGGAGTGCGCTAGCGGATGTCGGAGCTGTCTGGAAGCCTTCGGGGCTCTGTACTTAGGGAGGTGTAGGTAATATATTGAAAAGAGGGGGTGGTGACCATCGAGGGAGGTGGAGGTGATTACAGAATATGGGAGCTCCGAGGTTAGTGAAGAAGGAGCGGAGGTGGTCCGGAAGGATCGGAGGCAGTGGAGGTCGATGGCTGTGGGTGGATATGACATCTGGTTCTGGTGCCATGGGTGCTACTAGGTCTTCCACCTCTGCCTCTTGGTGTTCCTCAGTTTGTTCCCCTACCTCTCACAGTTAGGTTTTTGGTGCTGCCAGTGTTGTGGTTTCCAGTCAGTTCTGAGGCCAGAGTGGTTTCAAGGTTGGACCAGGTGTTACTGTTTGGTTTGCCAGTGGGGTGAATTTCATGCCAGAACAGCAGGTCTGTCAGAGACCGGGTCGAGACGAAGGAGTGTCTCCATGACGGAGGGCTTCGGCCTCAGCGACTTGTGCCAGGAGTGCTGTGCCTAATAAACACGTCCATGCCCTAACTTACTAACTGGCCACCAGAACTGAAGAGGGTAAACTCTAGTCGATTTTATTACTGAAGTGTAACCTATGTACAAGCTGGATATATATATGGTTACAGCGAAGATGGGTCCGCAAATGGCGGAGCCGAACGGAGTGGAGCTAATGGGGGTAAACATTAGCCGACTGAATATTACCAACGAGTCGGTTATGGGGTTAACGGAAAGGCAGGCGATAACCCAGAAACGGAAAGGAGGGATAGGCCTAGGTAGGCTTTGCAGGGCAGGCGAGTGTATTGCCCAATGGAGGCAGGAGTGCGCTAGCGGACGTCGGAGCTGTCTGGAAGTCTTCGGGGCTCCGTACTTAGGGAGGCGTAGGTAATAAATTGAAAGGGGGGGGGTGGTGACCATCGAGGGGTACTGAGGGAGTTGCAGAATACAGGAGCTCTGAGGTTAGTGGAGAAGGAGCAGGGGTGGACCGGAGGGATCGGAGGGATCGGAAGTCGATGGCCAGGGATGGATATGACAAGGTCCATGAGTGGGCATTGGAGGGTCGAGTGGTCTTGGCCCTTGCAGCCTCTGCATGGTTTGGGGGGTTGCATTTAATGCTGTTTGCAATTTTCCTATTGTACCATAGTGTGGCTTTGGCAGCTTTGAGCCATTCTCAGTGTTTGGTGACGTCTTTTGGGTGGGGGGACTTTGCTAGGAAGGCCCAGTGGATGGCTGTTTTACCCATTGTGGTGATGTTTGTTGGTTGGACACGAGCGGAGTCGATGATGGCTCACCATTCTAGTTGGTCTGGGACCGTTTCTGTGAGGTATCTTCCTATGGTGGTGTCTGGGCAGCTCAAGGGCATTCAAGGGCAGTGGACATTGTAAGAGGGCTCATGGCTTTTGATGCCAACTAAGCTTGTGGGGCCAAACTCTCCTAAGCTCTGCTTTCTCCACTAAACTTCACTATGCTCGATCCTTAACTCCGGTGTGGGTTCTCCAGGATTCCGCAAGGTCTGGGCTCAGTGTCCACTACTCACTTGTTGTGAGCTAGATCACTGCCCTTATTCCTACTGTTGGAATTCCACACACTCACTCCAACTCTAGTGCATCCTAGCACCTTAGAGAATTTGGGGGAGGGGAGAACTTCTTTTCAAAAATCCAGTATGTACAGGATTATAAGAAATAATTATTTTTAGAAATAAAAGATGGTAAATATTGGTGCCATATGGCACCTGGGTACCTTATTAGGCGAAATAATAAAAAAGGATAACAGTAACAATAAAAGAAAATCAATCAATATCTGAAGTGATGGCAAAAAATATGAAAATATAAAAAAATAAGCGATATCTCAACGGATTTACGGAATTAAGGGCCAAAATTGGAAATTAAGCCGGAGATAACTCTCACGCAGCCGATAAGCATTTTTACCAATTTATTAGACGCTGTGGGAACGAGTGAGGCTGGAATTCTGGGTTGCCCGCATATACTCGTGACCTGCCATGCCTAACTTGCCCAGCATAGAACTCCATCTGATTGGGACGTTCTTGGTATTGTCAGAATCATATGAATTGGGACTATTTCTAGATGTCAAATCTGTATTGGGTTGTCACATGAATGGAAGGGGTTTTCTAATTGTGGAAGTGGGTATCTGAGCTGGCTCTGCGCATGGGCGATTATCCCACCTACAACATGTCCTTGGCTGTGGCAGTGAAGTCCCAGTTTCTGAGCCAGTCAGATGTGAAGTCAGTTGCCGGGTGTGCCAAGAAGCTGAAGATTTTCGAGAACCAAAGCTGGTGGTGTAGTAGGGTCGCAGTGTCTTGGTAGGTTAGTGTAAGGGATTAACCTTACTTCACTATAATCCTGATTATAGTGATGCTGTTACTTCTCTAATTATTTGTGCTGAGATATGTAATTTACATATATATACCTCGGAGTACATAGTTGTAATGGCCCAGTAGCCTTTTACCTCTACCCTGTTGAATATCCAGCCCATCAAAGCTTATGTTTAGATGGACCTACTGAGGCCTGAGGCGAATGGGGGAACGGAACATTACCATCCCCAAACAAGTAAGCAACCCTTCAGTCAGACCTTTGATCATTATGCCACCCCATGGCAGGGGGTTGTCACTGCATTCCTCTATTTCATTGGCTGCTGGGATAGCACAGAGAGTGTTTGCTGATGCTGGGAAGGCATGGCTGATGAAGGTGGTGGCATAGTCTTTGGCTTCGCCCATCTTGGCCCTGGAGAATGCCATGATGATTGGGATTATGATTATGGCACAGTTTATGGCATCTTCCCATGCATCAATGGCTCCTTTTGAGATGTTTAGGTGGAGGTGCATGCTGTTGAAGCCTAGGATCCAGTGGTCGAAGCCCTCTGGGAGTGGGCAGACATTAAAGTCGGTCATGGTGTCGTTGGGTGTTTCAACTGGGCCTGGGGCTGGTGTGGCTGGGACTCTGATTGTTGTTTTGGGATCGGGGGTTGATTGGTCCTGTCATATCCATACCTACTCCACCTAACCTCTGACCTACTCTGCCACTGTTCCGGTTCACCTCTGGTTCTTCCTCTGCCTCCACCTCTGCCATACCCTCCAGTATACCTCCAGTCCACCTCCACCTCCGATCTCTGGTACCTTCTCCAGTACCTCTGATCCTCATCTTAGACGTTTAATAATATTTCTACCTACCCAATATTACTACAGACCTCCTAGGACCTCTGCCAACCCCACAAAGGTTTTCCCACTTTCCAATAGCTGTCGCTAATTCCACCCTTCACCTACCCACTCCACAATGCTCGATAAGGCAATTCTCTCATGAGCTTGCCAACCTGGCAAGTGGGTAAGTCCCTCTTGGGTTTTCCCTTTGTTCCCATTTGTCTTTTATTATGTATATAAGCCCTGTACTGTAGTTGATGGCACCTTAGTGCAAAATCGACAAACGACTATCCCCCCAGAGTTCGTGCCCCCCATTCTGAAGTTAAGGACCAGACTCTTAAGCGTTACCGAACGTAGGCACAGCGTTCCCCTCTGAGTTGCTGAGGCCACAGTCCTTCCACCCATCCTCTACCTCTGGCCTCCCTTCTGGGGAGAGGTCCAGGCATGCTGCTCCCTCCTTGCTGTGTCCCTGACAGGTCCTCATTTCCCAGTTCCATGGGGGCCATTGTTGTTTCTTCAGAGCTGGTTCTTGTCATCCTTGCTTCCTTCTTGGGGGGAGCTAGGAGGTCGGAGGTGTTTGAGGTGTTTGAGCTGCCTCTGTTTCTTTTGGTGCCCAAGCTAGTTCTTGGGTGGGCTGGGTCATTTGTTGGGCAGTTTGTGATAGGCATCTGGGCTTACTATGTGGCTCATGTTATGTACGGGTTTAGGGTTTTAACGAGTTTGGGGGGGGGGCATGTGTTGTGGCGTGGGTTGGTTGGGGCCAGGATAGATGTACAGTTTCAGCTTTATCGGTTTTTTTTTTTTTTTTTTTCTAGTTGATTTGGTTCAGGGGTGTCTTTGCTGCCAGAAGGTGTGTCTGGGCCTCGTCCCTCTCAGTGGAAGTTTGAGAGCCTACTTAGTAGGCCCTGCCCTGGTGTGGCAGGTGGGGCAGGGTTTTGGTCCTGCCAGGTGGCTAGTCATGCCCCCTGAGATTGCCCTTCTTCCTGGGTCTGTGGCTTTCATGGCATGTGCTTGTTTCTTTTGTCTTACATGCCCTGTTTCCCTTAGTTTAGCGACTTTTTGGTTGTAGGCTACTTTTGTTGTCTGAAATGAGCTTTTTTGCACTTTGCATGATGTACACTTCACATAGTTACTGTCAGAGACCAGATTCGAGACGAAGGAATGTCTCCGTAACGGAGGGCTTCGGCCTCAGCGACTTCTGCCAAGAGCGCTGTGCCTAGTGACACGTCCGTGCCCTAACTTACTGACTGGCAATTAGAACCTAGGGGGGTAACTCTAGTTGATTTTTCTACTGGGGCGTAACCTATGTACAAGTGGGATATATATATGGTTACAGCGGAGACGGTTCCGCAATTGGCGGAGCTGAACGGAGCGGAGCTAACGGGGTTTAAACATTAGCCGACTGAATATTACCGACGAGTCGGTTCACGGGGTTAGCGGAAAGGCAGGCGATAACCCAGAAACGGAAAGGAGGGATAGGCCCGAAGGTGGGCTCTGCAGGGCAGGCGAGTGTATTGCCCAGCGGAGGCAGGGGTGCGCTAGCGGACGTTGGAGCTGTCCGGAAGTCTTCGGGGCTCCGTACTTAGGGAGGCGTAGGTAATAAATTGAAATGAGGGGGTGGTGACCATCGAGGGGCGCCGAGAGGATTGCGGAATACGGGGGCTCCGAGGTTAGTGAGGGAGGAGCGGAGTTGGAACGGAGGGATCGGAGGGACTGGAAGTCGATGGCCGGGGATGGATATGACAGTTACCATATTTAGACAAGGATCACATGAGGTGTATACATTTCATTTTCCCACACTGCACACTTTGCACTTTGCCCACTTTGCACACTTTGCACACTTAGCATGCTTGCCAGACTCCATGGATGCACCAAAACCAGGCAGCATCCGCAACATGAATTGTTTTGATCACAGGTTGTTTACGGAAATAGACCTTAAACCCGATCATCTGCACAATTTTGGAGTGGCAGTACTCTTTGGCAAATGCTGAATTCAAGACCCTGGTGATCCAGAGAAGTCCAAATCCTGGTGCTCCCATAGCACATGGTTCTCCAACACAACCCACTTGTATGCACCACTTATGCTACAACTCCATGTAGTGATTGAAGTAATGAATAAAGCATTAAGATTCATGGACACCTGGTATCAACTTCATAGCCTCATCTCAAATTCAGCAATTGCTGAGGAGTACTACCAGATGATCAGATTTAAGGTCTATTTCCATAAACAACCTGTGATCAAAACAATTCAGTGGTATTTACGTTGTAACTGGGCAAGAGAGCTGCCCAGGCAAGAGAGTAGGGACCTGGGGGTAGTGTCTGAATCGGGTTGGAAGGGGGGAAAGGAAGGGTAATGGCAACAGTGCCAATACTGCACTGTGGTCCAGGTGCTAGAAAACAATCAACAAAATCTCACTAAATCAGTACTCACTCCTGGTCCTTCTTTGGCAGTCGTCAGGAGTCAGAGATACTGTATAAACTAGTATGTCGCCCTCTGGCATCACTAAACTTGTCAAACAACTTGTTACTTGGTGGGGGTGTCCCTTCTCATTGGGGGAGTCCCCTGTACCATACATGAAAATGTGCGCTATAAGTGAGGAATTGCAGGGCAAAGGGGAAGAATAGAAATACGCCTCTATGGCGACACAGAATAGCAAAGAAAGTGATGGAAAGGAAATACAAATAAAAGCAATGAAAACAATATCAGAAACAATAAAATGAATGATGGAAATAGTACCCCTCCTAATCGAGCATCCAACAACCTTCTCCTGCCGCCCGAATGGACTCTCCTCTCTCGTAGCTTTCCAACGGTACTAATTTCATCCAAATCCATCCAGTGGTTCTTGAGATATGACTGGAATTGGGTGGCCACTAGATTGACAGGCATGGGAATCTTGACTGTAGGGCTGGAAATGCATCGGAAAAATGGGGAAAAATGGGGAAATGGTAGAAAGGGTATCTGGGACCGTGTATAAGGTGCATCGGGCACAGGGTGTTCATCAGGGTATCAGGATTGCGATTTCTGGGCTTGTTTGTATGGTAGTGGAGATTCCCGCCTACAACGTTGCTGATGCTGCCTGGTTTTGGTGCATCCATGGAGTCTGGCAAGCATGCTAAGTGTGCAAAGTGTGCAAAGTGTGAAGTGTGCAGTGTGGGAAAATGAAATGTATACACCTCATGTGATCCTTGTCTAAATATGGTAACTATGACTATGTGAAGTGTACATCATGCAAAGTGCAAAAAAGCTCATTTCATGTGTCAGGAATATTTATTGGTGGCTTATTCCATAGAATAATCCACCAATGAAAAATCTTGACCCTGTGCACTTAAACATCAGCACTTTCCACTTAGTGCTTCTTGCACTTAACATACTTAACATACTTAACATATTTAGACATTGATCACATGAGCTTTCTATACATTGGCAGTTTCCTGCATTGCACTTTGCACATTGCACACTTAACACACTTAACACATTTTATATACCTGTCATATCCATACAATCCCGACCTCTGCTCTGGGCTCCTGGGACTCCAAAACTGACTCTGGAGCCCTACTTCTCTCTCTCTCCCCTTGTTGGTCGAACACCACACCAAGATCCCAAGCCGATCGATGCAAGTCACTCCTCATACATCAACACTTCATCTTGCTCCTCGTGTTCCACCACCTCCATCGGTATTGTAGTAGGTATATCCAGAGACCCATTCAAAGGCCTTCATGGATTCAGGCCTAAGAAAGGGATACTGTCATATCTGTACATACTGTCAGGGCACACCCGCCTGACCTGGCCCCACCTGGCCCCACTTCACCCAGTACCCCACCACCCAGTCCTCTCCTACCTCCTCCCCCCTTCCTCTTTCTTTCTTTCCCCATTTCACTTCCTCTTCATTTATTTCACTTTCTCTTTATTTTCTCTTTATTCTACACAGACGACCTTTCTCTGTATCAATGTACCATTGACCCACCCACAGCGTGCTCACAACATGCCCAGCCCGGGTGCTTTGGGCGACCCCCCGCTATGTCCAGCTTGCGCGTTCACAGCAGATGCCCTCGGGATCCCCCACAGGGACACCCAGGTGACTGTGGCTGTATGCGAGGATGACGTGGCACCCATCATGTGACCCAAGCCGCATGTATATAAACATACTGTCAGAGACCAGGTTGAGATGAAGGAGTGTCTCCATGGCGGAGGGCTTCAGCCTCAGCAACTTATGCCAGGAGTGCTGTGCCAAGTAACACGTCCGTGCCCTAACTTACTAAACTGGCAACCAGAACTGAAGGGGGGTAAACTCTAGTCGATTTTATTACTGAGGTGTAACCTATGTACAAGTTGAGTATATATGTAGTTACAATGAGAGCGGGCCCGCAAATGGCGGAGCCAAGCAGAGCAGAGCTAACAGGGTTAGACATTAGCTGATTGAATATTACCGATGAGTCAGGTTACGGGGTTAGCAGAATGGTAGGCGATAACCCAGAAATGGAAAGGAGGGATAGGCCCGAAGGTGGGCTTGCAGGGAAAGCGAGTGTATTGCCCAGCGGAGGTGGGAGTGCGCTAGTGGACGTCAGAGCTGTCCGGAAGCCTTCAGGGCTCTGTACTTAGGGAGGCATAGGTAATAAATTGAAAAGAGGGGGTGGTGACCATCAAGAGGTACCAAGGTGGTTGCAGAATACAGGAGCTCTGAGGTTAGTGAAGAAGGAGCAGAGGTAGACTGGAGGGATCGGAGGGAGTGGAAGTCGATGGCCGGGGATGGATATGACAATTAAGTGCAGCTGCAAGTTTGGGGTGATGCTTGGCCAGAATGCTCTTGGTAAGGAGCCCAGACTTCCCATAACCAAGATGATATAGGACAGATAAACAGCAGAGTTGGTGAGGAAGGCAAGAAAGGTGTACAATTGACAGGGCTATGATGACACCCCAAACAAATGCAAGTTCCTTATGTTGCTGAGTGGAAGGAATACCATCAAAGTAGACTCAAGGAAATAAGACCAGATGATCATCATATG